TAATTTTCCCTTTGGGGCCCCGCCCTGGCCCCAGGGGTTGGGGTAGGAATCCCAATTTTACAATTTTGAAGCCTCATCTACCAAGGATGATTCTGACCAAGTTTGAAAAAAATCCATCCACTGGTTCTTGAGAAGAAGTTGAAAATGTAAAAGTTTACGCACGACGCACGACGGACGAAAAGCGATTGGAATAGGTCACTTGAGCAAAGCTCAGGTGACCTAAAAATACACATACGGTACATACTGATTTTTAGCGAAATCAAACAATAACTGAATTTTGACCAATCAGAAGAAAATATACAGTGGCCATTTTGTCAAATCAGAAAATGGATGTTGCGGCTGAGTTCGCAGTGCCAAAATACATGTACTTACCAAATTTGATTGAAATCGAAAAATAACTGAATTTCGACCAATCAGAAGCCAGTATAGGTGACCATTATGTCAAATCAGAAAACGGATGTTGCAGCTGAGTTCACAGTGACAAAATACACCTACATACAAAATTTGTAGGTCGAAATCGAACAATATCTGAATTTTGTCTAATCAGAAGCAAGTATACTGCAGCCATGGTTGCTGTCCGATTCCTTTACAACATGGACGCTGTAACCCTTAAGATGGTAATGATCATCCCAACTTGAAGTCCAAGTTTAATTACATAGTCTAACACTTTAAATGTTTGAGATACACACAGCTGAACACAAAACTTAACGTTGATGAAGATGTTGCCAAAGTCACTGGACTGTGAAATATAGGCCACATTCAGCATATGATGCATGATTTAAAATGAACTATGTCTCAAATAACTACAGTCCATGTTTAGTTAGTCTAACACTTTAAATGTTTGAGATACAGCATGTAAAACACAGCTGAACGCAAAAACTCAACATTAAGAAAGATGCTGTGAAAGTCACTGGACCGCGAATTGTAGACCACATTCATTTATATTATGCATGGTTTATAATCCATGGGTTATGAATATAAGACACATGTATGGTCCAAGTTTGCGCATTATGATTTGTTTGCTTGCAAAGCTGTGTCATTCAAATAGATCATAAATACCATACAAAAACAGTTCAATACTTATATTTACGTTTTCTCTGCCTCTTATGTTCTTTTTTAACTTATAATTTATATTCAAAATTAAAAATGCCCGCCTTATCGACAGTTCACAAAATTTCGTTCAATAGTTTGAACAGCGTATTGTCACGTGCTGATTGGCAAACAAAGTTAACAAACACTTCAATTTTATTCCACAATTCAGTATCAATACAATTGCGTATGATATGTCTAAAGGGTGATTTAAGTTTATCAATGGAACTCTGAGCTGAAAGTTAGATTTGAAATTGTTTCGATTTTCCCCCGGAACAAATTTCTCGCATGGACAAATACAGTGAACACCGTAAATCCGCCCTTGCCCTCCACGAGGGAGTTATTTTTGGAAGTTAATTCAAACTTTTCTCTTTGCTCATTTTGTGAAGAATCCAGGCGTGAATTTATGTGTTGATTGTATGGGAACCTGACAACAGTCGGTAGATTCTATAACATCCTCGTTATTTGACATGTCGTCAGAAACTGAGGAATGATGGATGCGAGACGCGTGAAACTGATAGCGTTTGAAGTGAGTGATCTTGCGACGAAGCACAGGTTCGTTACAAATGTCTTAAATGTTTATGTGTGCTGTGACTTATATCAGTAGGTCTGTAACATATGTGTCAGTAGGTCTATAGAATATGTGTATTTCAGACATTTGTAACGAACCCCTGTTGATCATTGCAGTGTGACAGACGATATTTCTGATAAATTGCATGAGCGTTAAAATTGTTTCCATTGCCGGCATTGGTGATTTCAACCAATGTGCATTTTGTACGATATTGCAGACATTGGTCTTGTTTTCGTTGTAATAAAAGTGTTTTTTATTTTATTTTTTATTTTGCACATAAATTTACAATGGCATTGTCAAATCTCACAATGCCCAGCGATATTTCGGCAGCCGTCATGTTTATTAATATTGGATATTGTAGTTCCGGTCAGTGTTGTATTAATATGCTAAGAATTGTGTCTCGTGATGCTTGGTAATTTAAGTCCCATCAACGACACAGCTTTCAAAGAGGCTATATAGTGACAATGCCATGCAAATGTAAATATATTAAGTTGGACCCACTGAATTAGCCATTTATCAACTATCAACTGACTGTGGAATTGTTATCAATGCATGAAAATGAGGAATTAAGGTTTTGCATTGTTTCAGACCATAATTGACATTTAACTTAACCAAATAATCACTCTGAGGATTAGAGATTTTCTCTGTTACACCCTCAAGGTAAGGGATAAGAATTTTCTCTCATCCTATTATTTCAGAAACAACTCCACCGACAGTAGTTTGACAGGTTCAAAGGCACTTCTGACGTGTAAATATCACGATTCACTTTTTATGATGTCACAGTTTAGTGTGTGCAATTTTGCACAGGGCTATCCTCCCCCTCAGCCCCACCCTCCAGGGGGTAAAAAGCTGATCTTTCCATGCTGAAACTGTAGACATACATGTGCAGGTAGAGAGTATATGTATTGGCTTTGAACCACTGTGTGTCAATATACCTGTATCACTGATATTCGCGTATATATCGCGATCGGTTTGGCATTATTTATATAGCTAATATAAAGTACAAGGTAAATATATCTTCTCAATAAAATGTTAATGTATATTTCTGTGGAAGTGTATGGATTTGTAATTAGTGTTATGTACTATCTTATGTAGCATTCAATTAATACCTCAACCTGATATTGTGCTGTCCCTACCTGTTCATGATGCAAAATTCTAACAAGAATGGAGGATGCAGGCACAACCTTGAACTGGTCCAGATCTGTGACCTTGTACCTTGCCTTGTTCCTCGGTACACCATTACGTAGCCGGTACTGGTGACCACCCACGTTGAGCTTCCCTTTCTGTAAAAATAAGTTTGCCATCTAATTGATTACATAATTAGGTGAAAGACAGGCCATATATCATCCCTACCTTGTTCAATAAGGTGCCTCTCTTAGTAAACTATTGTGCAATTTGAAATTTACTGGTAACATCGGGACTTTTCATGCTAAATCCTTCTTTGCATTACTTTTTTTTTTAGGGTGATTAAATATGTGAATTCAACACATCACCCAGCTTTTCTGTACTTTCACTGTACCGAGGTATGAAAAAATGCAACAAACAATTTAGGAGAAGTTGCGCTAAGTTCATGGTGAGACGCACGTACAGGGTGATTCCTATATATCCCCAAACGTTATTTGCGGGAAGGTTTAAAAACACACAGAAAACATACTTACATTAAAGATGGGGACAAACACACTTCCTATGACGGAGATATCTTCAGAAAAGATATCATATGTATAGACACGCAGGAAGGCCACCATCTGCGGATTCAGATCTTTCTGCTCTTCATTAAATTCCAATCGGAACATAAATCTGGGGTTGCGAGCTGAACTTCTGAGCTCTGGGAGAGCTAGTAAAACTCGCGTCATGTCTGGCGCCCCTATGATACCAGTAACCTATAGGTGAACAAATCACAACTAGCTGTTAGAGTTTATGAACGGCCCTACAAGTCCAGTTAAATGTACATGTTAAATTAAACATAGACAATTCATTTGATCCACCTCAATGAATGTTTAATCTCATCAATATTGACAAAAACAAAATTCTATGGTAATAATGAGAAAGAAGAAAAAATGTTAAGCTTAACAAATATACATTTCTTACACGTACCCCCAACCGCAATATATATATATCTCTATGGAAAGGACCAAACCTCATATACCAAAAGAATGGGCCATATGGCAATCAAGTTTTTTGACATTATTTATCACCACTTGCACAGCTGAACTTGAAAAAATAACTCCCATAACATGGTGTCAAACAGTTCATAATCCCTGATAGTACATAGAACCACCACAGGAAGGTGAGGTAAACAACACAGCACTTATTAACAGCAACGCTAGAAACATATAGGGTAAAGCCTACAGGACTGGTCCAAAGGACCACTAGAGAGAGATGGAAGGTGAGACAGGCCTTGTTCTGGACCACTACAGAAATATTAACACCTGATCACATTATAACAACAGGTGCCAAATCTAACACAGTCTTCTACCTGTCGAATAGAAAATACTCCCGATTTACAGCATGGAGGCTGCTGGCTCTACTCACCTTAATGATGGAGGCGTTGTCAGGTATGAAGTGGACAGCATCGATGTACAAATCAAACCTAGAGTTGAGACCAGTGGGTTCTGGATCTTTTCTGGAGGCAAAAGGATTGTGCTCCACCCAGGGATCAAGCAGTTCATCAGGAGTGCGAACAACCTCCTCTCTGTAAAACACAGGTGTCACGTAATTTATGGTGGAAGAGATGAATTGATTCAAAATGTAATGGTCGGGTGGAGCAGTGTATAGCTGCACTTGCCTTTCAATAAGATGGCTGGGATGTGATTCTCTGATCGGACGTGAAAAAATATGGGGTCACCTGCCCACCCACATGGGTTGTCTCTTGATTCTCCAGCTTCCTCTTATATCAAGACCCCTTAATGCTTCCACGCAGGCAAAAACAAGTTATACAACTTGTTTCATAATTATTGTAAAATAAATATAGTTTATATATGATATGAAATTCAACTACAGCTTTTACACCTTGAACAGGACACTGGTATTAAATTTGATCTTTGATCCCTGTAGAGGGTAGGGATGACCAGTGCATCTAATTTTTAAAGCAACATCTTCAGAGGTAAGCCAGGCTGACCACTTGGCAAACAGCAAGACTAGTGCTAAAGGCCTGGTGTTTGTAAAGGCTAGTCAGACATCAGATCTGACACCAAGTCCTCTAATCCCTTCTTCATAAAATTAACAAAAGATTTTGGTCTAAACTTTTGAAATGCAATAAATTAAAGCAGCCTGGAATAAGGTATGGAACTGAACCTTGACTAGCATGAGTTGTTTTAGTGTGGCTTGACAATTAGACAAAATAAACTATATAAATATCTAAAACTAAACAAATTCTGGAGCCAGCTTTCTGCTTATTGTTTTAATTAATTACAGAGAACACAATTATTTAGTGCCGAAGTAAAAGCTTTATCTCTAAACGTTTCCTTCCAGTTGGTAAGTATGGATTACCCTCATCAGACCGGTGACAGTGTACATATCATACTAGTCATCGAAACGTCACATAGAAATCTTATTGGGTGTGTATAAAGAACTTTTCATAAAAAAAATCCAACCCTATATATGAGTGGGAAGAGACTTACACTTTCTCTTCCTCCTCCTCCTCTTCATCCTCGACGGGCGTCTCTGGTGGGGGGGTGATCACTTTGATCGCTTCCACCTTCTTTTTGGACTTCGGCTCATGTTTGGGTTCATATACGATGGCACCAAGTTCAGAGCTGTATCCCAGGAGTCCTTCTGTAGGAGTTAAGTCAACACTTAATTCCTATTCAGACTACTTTAATTGTTTTCCTCCTTACTAAATGTATTACACACAGTAGTAACACTAACAGTGTTGTGTTTAACCAGTAACTACAGATAGCCAAGTACCTGTTAAAGCTGATTTTCCTTAATTGCCTTTCTGTCAGAAAACAAGTATGTATTTTATAAAATACAAGTAATTTGAATAGTGAAAAAATAATAGGAAAGAATGACTGACCACCCTCTTGGTAATTAACGTCAATGCATACAATATTGTCAATATATATATTACATACCAATGGAAGGGACAGTTCTTTCCCAACATACTAACAAACAAAAACATTCATAGAACTGTAAGAGTATCAATAATATCAAAACAAAACTAAGGAATTATTACAGTACTGTAATTACCAAATCTCCCTCATCAGAGGGGTAGTTGACCAACACATGGACAGCAACAGGTTATGACAAAGACCATGTCTAGTACAGAGACTGATACAAACCAATGTTAATGATTATCACTAACTTTCATCAAAATCTAACACTGTTTCTGAGATCCAAATTCATCTCAGTGTTTAAAGACGAGGACAAAGAACAATGACAAAAAGCCATCGTAACAGGTCACCTGATTTACAGCTACGAGTAGTACACTAGTGACAATACGTACCAGGTGTCTGCTTTGGTGTCTGAGGGACGGTTGTGATGAGGGTGTCGGGCACATCACCGGAATGGAGAGAATGTTTGTTTTCTCCGTCCTGCAGCGCCCACTGTACATCCACCGAGTCTGTAGATGTTCGTCCTCCTGGGGAGTCACGGTAAAACAGAGGCACGCGTGCCCAGCCCAGCTGGACATTGCTGGCATCTACAGAAGAGGGTCGTCAGGATATACAATTATTTTAATATGTGTTAAAATTACCAGTTGTTAACACTTTTCACTAAAATCCTAATTCTTTCAAAATCAGTAAAACATATTTTCAACATGAAGATTTAACAACTTATCTATTATATGCTGATCCCATTTAATGTTTTACAGAACATAACATTTGAAACTATTGACAAGATGAAAACAGTTTATTTTTTTCAGCCATGTTTTCATTTCTCAAATCTAGATCTGTAGCATTAAGTATCAATAACATGGAACAGGTTGATAATCTCAGGGCTGTAAGAGTAGTGTCTCCTTAATCCTTATAGCAGGAGTAATAAGATTTGTTGTACTTGTAGGAGTGACTTACCATGGTGTTGTGAGGCAGGTTTCTTGTACTCTATTCTAATAAGGGCATAGGGGTGGGCCCCGAGCTCACGTTCCACATCGTACTGGGAAATGTCAATACTCTCATACACAAACTTGTCCTGGGGGAAATGCATCTCGTACAAAATGTTTTTGTACATGTCTTTGGTTTGTACAGCAGTGTATCCGGGATGCATGGACATACGTGACCGAAGTTTGATACTGCCGAAGTAGATCGATACATGGAGAACCAGCTCGGTGGCATTCAGGTAATTGAGCCAAGGTTCCTGGAGGGAGAAAACAATGGAACAACATTTATTGTTTATCTCAAATCATATAACATACTTGACATTGAATTAATAAATCTTATTTTCGTTTTTAAAACAATATAAAACTGATACTTTTCTTAATACTGAATAAAATGGAAAAATATTCTAAAATCATGTGTGATATATGAAAACCTGAATAACAAAGACTGATTTTTTTTTCGTTATCAAGCGATTTCTTCTATCAGACCCCATTACTTGTACTTTGAACAATACGGTCATTTTAGCTAAAAAAATAAAGAAAAACAATGTGATCATTTATATATAGTTTGTCACATTTCATTAATAACATATTTAAAATATGTTATTATATGAAATGTGACATACTATAAATGATCACAAATGTTTTTCTTTATATTGTCATATTGTCTCCAAGAATTCTGGCATGCATGAATTTTTCCAAAAATGATATACAGCAGAATGTATTGATGATTGAATTGATTTGAACATGTAAACCTCCTATTAAAAGGAAGGTTTTGAGAATGTTTTGTTATATATTTATGCTTCCTGCTATACAGATTTAAAGCAGGATCATGACATATATTTATCAAATAATTTTCCTTTTAAACAACGTAGGGTTCACATGAACTTACCTTTGACACAGCTGTTGTGGGGATCACCAGTTTCAAACTAATGTCCTTGATACCAAAGGTTGATAAGAAACCAGGGACAGGTAGACTAGCAATAGATACACCGCCACTGAGGCGAGAGGCAGGTGTCCTGTAACACAGAATTTCAACACTACAGTGTGTTATATAACACAAGATACACCCCCACTGAGACAAGAGGCAGGCGTCCTGTAACACAGAATTTCAACACTACAGTGTGTTAAATAACACAAGATACACCCCCCACTGAGACGAGAGGCATGCGTCATGTAACACAGAGTTTTAACTTTATAGTGTGTTTTATAGCACAAGATACACCCCCACTGAGTTGAGAGGCAGGCGTACTGAAACACAGAATTCAACATTACAGTGTGTTTATAAAGCACAAGATACACCCCCACTAAGACGAGAGGCAGGCGTCCTGTAACACAGAATTTCAACATAACGGTGTGTTATATAGCACAAGATACACCCCCACTGAGACGAGAGGCAGGCGTCCTGTAACAAAGAATTTCAACATAACAGTGTGTTATATAGCACAAGATACATCCCCATGAGAGGCAGGCATCCTGTAACACAGTATTTCATTTATATAGTGTGTTATATAAAACATGAGGACTGGTGATGGATATATCCCAACTGATGAGGATTTAACATTTAACAATGCTTCTATTACTGTAGTATGATACTAAATGGCTTTGTATGACTCTGTACTAGAACATTAATTTGTCAGGAAATATCATGTCATTGTGTGTACTACACCGTGTATGGCACTGTAAACATTACGTCAGGAGATGTTGGTGAATGGTATTAAATGATCCTGTATTATCTGATATATACTGGACCATCAGTACTAGTGTCTGTAGATATCCCTGTATTGTATTTTATGATTCTTTATGATCCGACACGTAGAATGCCAATATCTGAGAAAGTCTTTATTATACTCACCTGCACGGATGAATGTATCGAAACTTCTTTTTTTCTTTTTCCAAATAGTTATTCATGACACCATTAAGATTGAGAAAATGCGTAGTTTTAATAGTGAAGAACTATTTCGTACTATAGAGTATCGTTATCACAGCTAATACTATGTCATATTGAAATGTACCCACTACAGTAAAATAATGCATGCCACATGTGTATACATACAAGCCAAACCTCATTAACAAAGAGCAGCATTTAAAGATATCAATCGATTCATTCATGGTCTAGTGAGCACTATAGAACAATATCATTAAATGCCAATAACGGTTGATACTCGGAAGTTTTGATAAACATATTTTTATATTAGAAATATTTCAAATCTAAAATTACTGCTGATGCTGCAATTAGAACAGTCTGTTTAACGTTACCAAAGATACTACAAGATATTATTCAAATTTCATGATAATTCAAAATAACATTATATATTGACGTTCAGTGACATGGCACATTTATAACAAGTAAAATCTACCGTAAATCTCCCGTATTAGAAACAATCAAACCCAGATGTTCAGCAAGGGTGAATACTCTTTCACCACTTACTGCCACATATCCTTATTTAAGGATTCCATCAGTCCTGCAGTAACAAAATCTGGAAGAGTGTATTGTGGAAATGTTCATGTTGGCAATGTGACTGCAATATCCATAGTGTGACAATAATTCTTTGCATGTGCAGTGAACATTTAGTTTTAATATCAGAAATCAATAAACTTCCACATCACAAAATTCTCCCACTTTTACAGTTTGATGACAAATTCTCAGATCTATAGCCAGGTAAAATGTCTTTATTGACTCACAAGTAAAAAAGAGCAGACACAAAAATGGTCACAAATACAGTTGAACTGATCCGGAGCAACTTACCATTCAGGCTGCTTCCATTGGTATGAGAGACAATACATTTATTTTCCTATTTGTGTTAGTAAATTAACAATATAAAATTGGTAATCATGGTACATTGCCTAACATTTGATAACTGAAGGTTGTTTACTTACCTTGTATGTGTTTTAATATTTTATCTTTCTTCCCAAACATTCAAATCATTGAATACAAGTGGTACTTGGATTCATGAATAGTTATACATTCGGAAAGTCAAGTTTGTGAAATTAAATCCTTCACAAAATAATAGTTACTATACAGAGCCTCAGTATTTGTGGGCTGAAGTCCATCTGTAAGTGTTCCTGCTGTATAATTATACAGGACACTGTCTGCTGTTCTTGTGAATCTTTACCATTATCAAAGACAGGTGATTATGCCTGTAGATGGGATTATGGGTATACATACTCACAAAGGACAATGTCTGCTGTTGAAGATAATACTTACCATTATCATACCTCAACCAGAGATTCTTATACTAACACAGAATGCTGTCAGTTGTTGTAGAGAAATTTACTACTATCAAAGTGGATCAAGTCTGTATATGTTTGTAGATTTACTTACACAAAGAACTATTGATCACGTCTGAGGTTTACTTCCACAGGACGCTGGCGGTTGAGGTAGGGAATCTCTGTGAGGTCTTTACCACTCTATATATATAGATATGACTGAGGTTTACTTACACAGGATGCTGGCGGTTGAGGTAGGGAATCTCTGTGAGGTCTTTACCACTCTATATATATAGATATGACTGAGGTTTACTTACACAGGACGCTGGCGGTTGAGGTAGGGAATCTCTGTGAGGTCTTTACCACTCTATATATATAGATATGACTGAGGTTTACTTACACAGGACGCTGGCGGTTGAGGTAGGGAATCTCTGTGAGGTCTTTACCACTCTATATATATAGATATGACTGAGGTTTACTTACACAGGACGCTGGCGGTTGAGGTAGGGAATCTCTGTGAGGTCTTTACCACTCTATATATATAGATATGACTGAGGTTTACTTACACAGGACGCTGGCGGTTGAGGTAGGGAATCTCTGTGAGGTCTTTACCACTCTATATATATAGATATGACTGAGGTTTACTTACACAGGACGCTGGCGGTTGAGGTAGGGAATCTCTGTGAGGTCTTTACCACTCTATATATATAGATATGACTGAGGTTTACTTACACAGGACGCTGGCGGTTGAGGTAGGGAATCTCTGTGAGGTCTTTACCACTCTATATATATAGATATGACTGAGGTTTACTTACACAGGACGCTGGCGGTTGAGGTAGGGAATCTCTGTGAGGTCTTTACCACTCTCTATATATAGATATGACTGAGGTTTACTTACACAGGACGCTGGCGGTTGAGGTAGGGAATTTCCATAAGGTCTTTACCACTCTCAAGGTGGATCCAGGCCATCTGAATATCCACTGTATAAAGCTTACAGGGCTCAAAGAAAAACACCTACAACAAGAAAATGTTGATGAACAGTAGTGTTTCTCACCATATGTCTACTGGTGTTCTGTTTTTAGTGTAAAGATTCTTTATTTACAGCACGTACAGTTACAGTGAAGGAGCAACACCTGCCATTCTCTGTTATTTTCTATGTAATGTGGTTTGTGAAAACTGGGTAACCTTCCTTACACCAGAATTACCTTCCTTACACCAGAATATTCTCGATAAATGACCCAGCTATGATACTCAATATATATAGACGTATCTGTTCCACTTTATAGTGTATGGATACAGAGGTTTGTGCTGTACAACTCTTGTCTCACCTCCTTCATGCTGGAGTAGTCCCTAGCCTTCATAAACTTGTGTTTGAGCAGCATGAGGATGGCCGTGGCGAAGTTTTGGAGGACAGAGGGCCGCCAACCCTGCAGGAAACACTGGTCCCAAACAAACATAATACCAGGTGTGTCCAAAACACTTACAAACCCCTGAAAAAAATACCCAGCATTGTACTGTTTTAAGGTTATTTTTGTTTAAAATGTTGAGGAAAGCTGAGTGAAACAGCACAGTGGCTCAATTTTACCTTTTCTGTTATATATCATATTTACGGAATGTAGTTGTCATATATTCTACCTGACTTTATTAACTTCTCCAAATCAATTCTATATTGATATCACTTTATTGATGAGATCTCTTACAGTAGCCTTTTTTTTTCAACAGAACAATTTTTTTAACACTTTACTGACCTCCCCAATCCAGCGGCGGAGGAAGATGAGGGGGTCAGCGAGGAGTTCAGAGTTCATGCTCTCCTCCCGTTTACTTCCTGGTGTGGCCTTGAGTAGCTCCTCAGCCTTGGCTTTCTCTACACTGATCAACTGGACCAGGAACTCCTGTCACATAATCCATGTAAATGTGAACAATACCCATCATCATTAACATATTCATGACCAAGCTGAGAGTGGAACCTTTGGGTTTTTTAACAGTGACAGACATTCCAACTGTTAAGAGAAGTACCAAGGCAAACTCAGGTATGATAACCTCACACAAAGGTCAAGGTCAGATCTACCAAGGCCATTTCAGGTGTACATAAACAGCAAAGTCAAGTAAAGTCAATTTCACACAATGTCAGGACACTTTAATCAATGTTCACATACATTGCAAAATTAAGTAAGCTTAAACCTAACACAAAGGTCAAGGTCATCCTAACAAGGTTTTCTCAGGTAAACCTAAACGCAAGGTCAAATTGAGATAACACAATGGTCAAGGTAAGTAAGTCAAGAGTCCCTTCATATAAAAGTACAATGTAAAGAACTGTACCTTAATCTATGTAAATACAGGTATGAAAGGGCTGACTGTGTACCTTTTTGTTGATTTTAATGTTGGTAGTGGCAATAGCCTTGAGGTGGGTATACATATCAGGGTCACTCTGACTCAGTATATTCATCACTGTCTCCGCGATCGCAAACACTTGGATCCATGTGGGGAAGCACGAGTTGTTGAGAAGATCCAGATACATAGCCAGTTCATATACATGTTGACCTGTAACATAGAGGGGATATTGGTACACATTACAGGGCAGACTGTTTAACAGAAACACATACCATTGGAGAGGTCAGCTATAGAGCCATCTCAGGACTCAGGACTTGTGAAAAAAGTTTACAGAGTGTCTTTTACAATTTGAAATTTAAGTAAAGAGAGTTAGAAAAACAAGATAATCAATCATCTCATGTATTACATGTGTACCAACTCCTAGCAGGTTTATGAGTGGGGAGTGAGCCAACCTTTAGCGGTTGTGGGAGAAATACCTATTAACTATTACCCGAACTAAAATAAGCAAACAACTACAGGTAACATGAACAGTACCTTTGTCTGTGGGTTTGCTGGACGGCTGTTGGAAGCTGACCTGGAGAGGGAACAGCCAGTGTATGAGGTACGGCTCGTAACTACGATCAAACGTGTAGAGAACATTGAGTGTCCGACTAGCTTCAATCATGTGTTCAGTCGTACGGAACGCCACCATGCCAGTCGTCTTGTTATATGTCTGAAGATAAAAGAAAACTATTAGTTATCATTATCAATATCTTATTTCAAGTTATGTTTAATTATTAATGCACAGTTCATTAAACAATTTTACAGCTACTCAAGATTTTCATAACAAAGTTTACATATACTGCATACATTTGTTATTGAATATCATAACAGCTAAATGTACCCACCTCTACAACAGCATTTTCTATGAGGCCAGCGATCGGTGTGTTGGTGGCCCGAGTGATCCTTAGATCCTGGACACCTCGAGCTACAGCTTTGGCAAAGCGCTCTCGTAACATCCGCTCAAGGTTTCTATAATACGCAACACCAAATTTAGAAACAATGATTTTACTAAATGACAGCAATGCATTTCCATGTTCCAACCATACTTTTTGTCAAATCAATTTCTACTTGTCATTACCTAAAATATATATTTCCAAAAAAATTGTGACTATATTATAATCACATCCTCCCCTGCTACCTTTCAGAGGTCTGTTATATTAACTAACTGTTTGTGACTATATCATAATTACATCCTCCCCTGCTACCTTACAGAAGTCTGTTATATTAACTAACTGTTTGTGACTATATTATAATTACATCCTCCCCTGCTACTTTTCAGAGGTCCGTTATATTAACTAACTGTTTGTGACTATATTATAATTAGATCCTCCCCTGCTACTTTTCAGAGGTCCGTTATATTAACTAACTGTTTGTGACTATATTATAATTACATCCTCCCCTGCTACCTTACAGAAGTCTGTAATATTAATTAACTGTTTGTGACTATATTATAATTACATCCTCCCCTGCTACCTTACAGAAGACTGTTATATTAACTAACTGTTTGTGACTATATTCTAATTACATCCTCCCCTGCTACCTTACAGAAGTCTGTTATATAAACTAACTGTTTGTGACTATATTATAATCACATCCTCCCCTGCTACCTTACAGAAGTCTGTAATATTACCTAACTGTTTGTGACTATATCATAATCACATCCTCCCCTGCTACCTTACAGAAGTCTGTTATATTAACTAACTGTTTGTGACTATATCATAATTACATCCTCCCCTGCTACCTTACAGAAGTCTGTAATATTAACTAACTGTTTGTGACTATATCATAATCACATCCTCCCCTGCTACCTTACAGAAGTCTGTTATATTACCTAACTGTTTGTGACTATATTATAATTACATGCTCCCCTGCTACCTTTCAGAGGTCCGTTATATTAACTAACTATTTGTGACTATATCATAATTACATCCTCCCCTGCTACCTTACAGAGGTCCGTTATATTAACTAACTGTTTGTGACTATATCATAATCACATCCTCCCCTGCTACCTTCCAGAAGTCTGTTATATTAACTAACTGTTTGAGACTATATTATAACTACATCCTCCCCTGCTACCTTACAGAAGTCCGTTATATTAACTAACTGTTTGTGACTATATCATAATTACATCCTCCCCTGCTTCCTTACAGAAGTCTGTTATATTAACTAACTGGTTGTGACTATATTATAATTACATCCTCCCCTGGTTCCTTTCAGAAGACTGTTATATTAACTAACTGTTTGTGTCTATATTATAATCACATCCTCCCCTGCTACCTTACAGAAGTCCGTTATATTAACTAACTGTTTGTGACTATATCATAATTACATCCTCCCCTGCTACCTTACAGAAGTCTGTTATATTAACTAACTGTTTGTGACTATATTATAATTACATCCTCCCCTGGTACCTTTCAGAAGACTGTTATATTAACTAACTGTTTGTGACTATATTATAATCACATCCTCCCCTGCTACCTTACAGAAGTCTGTTATATTAACTAACTGTTTGTGACTATATTATAATCACATCCTGCTATTTGATGTCAGATTATGTTTCAGAGGTCCGTTATATTATCTAACTGTAGACAATGTACACTGAACATAGGCCATACCCTTCAGAGAGACGTTTGCGCTCTTCCTTGAACAGCACATCTGCCCACATGTGTGTGCGGAGTGTACCAGGTAATTGTCGCCCATGCATTCTACCAGCCACATGGTCAAACTTTCGTGGGTCTCTTTCCAGGATGGCCATGACAGCTTGGCCGATGGCGTCACTCTGAACTCCCCACAGTGAGGGAGGGTCCCCTTCCACTTTCTGTACCATCGCTGTAATGGTGGTTACATAGAGGTAAGAATCATACAACATAAATCAATAATAACGTGGTGTACGTTACATGAAATCATGCTCCGGTATTTTCACATTATAGACAATAATACAAATAACTGATTTGATTTATAATTACAAACAAATCTTTTTAAAAACGTAGGTCTGTCTGGGTTATGTTATTACATTTCACAATAATATCAAGCTTATTAAATTTCCAATTTGTTGCAGCTGCACTATTTACATGTTACATAAATTTTATATTCAATGTTGAATTTAAGGTAAGCTATATTTATTAAGTAAACAGTAAAAAATATTTGTCTTATTGGTATTGTAGTAAACGGTAAGTTAAAATTTATTTAATTTACTCGTTTCATTTACCAACTCGCTCTCCTTCAGCACATTTCTAGGTGACAAGGGCCCCTTTTCCCTTAACAATTCATTCATATTTCTTGCTTGATATATATCATTCATCTCATTTATCACTTTAACCTATTTTTTCATAATAATTTACCAGCATGTTATACCTACTAGTACAATCGACAACGGAAGTAAATCTACATGACAATGTGTACTAGAAAGTATTCAATGGCCTCGCAAACCAGATCCACTTTTGTGATAATACACAATTTACAAATATTTAAGACATTTATGACTGTATACAGGATTTTTTCCCACTTAGTTTCAGTAAATAATTCTAGTAAACAACATTTCATACACAACCTGCTTTGAACTTATATTTTGTCATATTATGAGAATAATGTATTGAATCAAATATGTAGTTTGTAATAGGCTCCATAATATTTAATACAATAATTCTAATAAAAACACGATAATTGTATAACTAAATCTACGATAATGTGTGACTGTGACAGAAACATTTACACTCCCGTACTATTTCTAGCACATGATTTATCAAGCACACAAACACAAGTTTTCAGTGTTAAGATTACACTATTATACAATTACTAAGTAGGCAACATACAGCTGTCTACATAGACATAACAAACTAGTCATAAAACACACACAAACAGAAATCAGTCAAACTGAATCTCACATGTTTGGTAAAAATCCAACAACAAACTGTAGCATACTACAGACTGTCTAATCAATCAGTATCTATCTGGCCTAGATTTATAAATAAAACTTCAAAATGTTTACATTTCGGCTCTCCACTTGTTGATAGCATTTTGTCTGAGGTAGAAATCAAGGTGAAAGTTAATGACTATGACTCATCATAGGCTGTCAAATATTGCAGGACAATCTATAGTTCTATACTAGCTAATGAACAATATCAACATCATAAAATGGTGGGGGCATAAAAAGGATTTCTATTGAACTAAAACATTCTTTCCAATTGAAGTGTCTTTATTATTATACCAGTGAAGTCTTCAGTCTTAATTATATTCAAATGAATATTGAAAACTGCAAGCTTAAGTATTAATAACAAAAATCAAATTCACAGATACAAAGCAAAACAGTTTTTTGACAAAACAATATGCCACACAACATAATTATCATGTTATTATTCAAGTTTTCAAGATCCAACACATTAGAACCAAAGTTTTAGTTACCTCCTAAACCTTAGTTTTTAACACTTATTTCAAATAAACAAACTGCCCATACCACACAAACTTCTGTACTACACAGAAGGGAGCCTCTCTATGACACAGACTTACCAGCTACCATTTGAGGATCACCTGGGGTAGTGTTGTAATCATATAAGGTGTTACACATAATACACATATCACTAGTTATCTTATGTTTGTGTCACGAAAAATGACCTATTCTGATGTCATCAAATGATAATGTATACTTAAAAGCACAGACTTTCAGTTCAAATTATGATATCAGAATGCAGGTCTAAAAGATATAGCAGATGATGTAAAGTTAGACCATGAATGACAGAAAAAGTGTGTTTGTCTGTCACAAGATATTATGAAAATTCTTGATTGTGAGATAAAAAGAATCATGTAATAAAACTGAAAACTTTTTGTGAGAAACTGAAAGTCTTTGATAAATTTTACTTTAATCTCAGTAGTCAGCATGACCCTTCTGGCTTTTCACGATATATTTATGAATATTGCTTTTTATAATACTAAAACGAGTAGTTAATATTGAAGTTCTTTGTCATAATGAAATTATGTTTAAGATATCTAAATAGGTGCAGACATATAATAATGTCCGTTAAATAGATGCCATGTTGTTTTGGATGGAGGGGGGATACTCAATTTACTGACTACTTATTGTCAATGCATACAAAGTACACCTGTATCTGACTGAAATCTACATATTCTCATTATTACCTGCGTAATGTATATTTACATAATTTACAAAATTTTGATCTAGAGTATGATACATTGATCTAGAAGACATACTTCTAATGGCGGCCGAGTTGGGTTTACTGGTTGGTGTTGAGGAGAGAGAGGAGGAGGAAGAGGTAGTGGATGGCTTCACCCGGCTCGGTTTCACCATCTTTCTCAACTGGGAATCAGTTTCAAGCTCCTTCACTTTCTTTCTCTACAATTGAAACAATAGATTTTAACACTTTTGGTTAACCTAAACAAATAGTAAGACCTCAGGTCACCCTTGGTAAAGATTCTTTCAAACTGTGCTTTAAAATGAACCCTGCTAAACTCACCGACAGATCCATCTCCTGAATGTACAGTTCCCGGTCCAGCCCCTTGTTGAATATTTGGAAGCAGTGCTGTAAGAACTCAGCATACTCCCCTTTTGGAGCTTTTCTAGAAACATTAAAAAAAAAAATCATTGATACTCCCTTTCAACAATAATTGTGCCTAGTCAATGACAATGCACTTAATTGGTACACAATACGAACACTCAATGATAACATATTCTAAAAATGTTCTGCAAGACATCCTCATTATAATAAGATCAAGAAATAATGTTACAATCAATAACAGTCAGGCTATACAATTTCCAGTCACAAGTCAGCATGCCTCTACAGTCCATGAAACACTAAATAATCAGCACAGGACGGTATGTTACTATAGCCTCCCTTTCATAACAATTCCAAGTCAGCACTTAGCAGCATGTCCTTGTATCTCTCGTCTTCATTAAATCAACACCACTGACCGTTATGTTCCTGTAGCCCTTCGCTATGACACACTTACTTGTCAGCGCTGGCCAGCATGTCCCCGTAGCCCTCCGTTATGACACACGTACTCGTCAGCGCTGGCCAGCATGTCCCCGTAGCCCTCCGTTATGACACAATTAATCGTCAGCGCTGGCCAGCATGTCCCCGTAGCCCTTCGCTGTGACACACTTACCCATCAGCGCTGGACAGCATGTCCCCGAAGCCCTTCGCTGTGAGACACTTACCCATCAGCGCTGGCCAGCATGTCCCCGTAACCCTCGTCCTTGACACACTTATACAGTTGACTAGTCAGGTAGGCCTCTGCTTCTTTCATCAGGATGGCCTTCTCCTTAGAATCCATTTCTGGAGGTGCCTGTGTATTGAAAGTGGCCAGCATGTCCCCGTAGCCCTCCGTTATGACACAATTAATCGTCAGCGCTGGCCAGCATGTCCCCGTAGCCTTCCGTTATGACACAATTAACCATCAGCGCTGGCCATCATGTCCCCATAGCCCTCTTCCTTGATAAAATTACCTGTCAGCGCTGGCCACCATGTCCCCGAAGCCCTTCGCTATGACACACTTACCCATCAGCGCTGGCCAGCATGTCCCCGTAACCCTCGTCCTTGACACACTTATACAGTTGACTAGTCAGGTGGGGCTCTGCTTCTTTGATCAGGATGGCCTTCTCCTTAGAATCCATTTCTGGAGGTGCCTGTGTATTGAAAGTGGCCAGCATGTCCCCGTAGCCCTCCGTTATGACACACGTACTTGTCAGCGCTGGCCAGCATGTCCCCGAAGTCCTTCGCTTTGACACACTTACACGTCAGCGCTGGCCAGGATGTCCCTGTAGCCCTCTTCCTTGATAAAATTACTTGTCAGTGTTGGCCAGCAAGTCCCCGAAGTCCTTCTCTGTGACACACTTACACGTCAGCGCTGGCCAGGATGTCCCTGTAGCCCTCTTCCTTGATAAAATTACTTGTCAGCGCTGGCCAGCATGTCCCCGTAGCCCTTCGCTATGGCACACTTACCCATCAGCGCTGGCCAGCATGTCCCTGTAGCCCTCTTCCTTGGTAAAATTACTTGTCAGCGCTGGCCAGCATGTCCCCGAAGCCATCGCTGTGGCACACTTACCCATCAGCGCTGGCCAGCATGTCCCTGTAGCCCTCTTCCTTGATAAAATTACTTGTCAGTGTTGGCCAGCAAGTCCCCGAAGTCCTTCTCTGTGACACACTTACACGTCAGCGCTGGCCAGCATGTCCCCGTAGCCCTCATCCTTGACACACTTATACAGTTGACTAGTCAGGTGGGGCTCTGCTTCTTTGATCAGGATGGCCTTCTCCTTAGAATCCATTTCTGGAGGTGCCTGTGTATTGAAAGTGGCCAGCATGTCCCCGTAGCCCTCCGTTCTGACACACGTACTCGTCAGCGCTGGCCAGCATGTCCCCGTAGCCCTTCGCTGTGACACACTTACCCATCAGCGCTGGCCAGCATGTCCCCGTAGCCCTCGTCCTTGACACACTTATACAGTTGACTAGTCAGGTAGGCCTCTGCTTCTTTCATCAGGATGGCCTTCTCCTTAGAATCCATTTCTGGAGGTGCCTGTGTATTGAAAGAGAATGGTTGATGAACCTACAACACATTTCAGGGGCCATTTTGGCAAGAGGCACTGGGTCTGTAAGAAGCAGTGGACCAATACACACCAAAGTCTTAGTAGTCAGTACATGTAATACAGAAGAGTATTGAAACTGATGTTATTAAACAAGATCAACCAATGCATGGCCTAACCATTGACTCTTTGAACCATACTACTAAATATGTTAACTGGTGAAAACCCGGATTTTATATTTACTGCTGAGAACTCTGGTGAAAACCCTAATTTTATATTTACTGCTGAGAACTCTGGTGAAAACCCTGATTTTATATAAATTTACTGCTAAGAAGTCTGATGAAAACCCTGATTTTTATGTTTACTGCTGAGAACCCTACCTTTCAGGTTAACAGACTTGAGTGTTGTTCACCCTGAATTTTAAATATGAGGGGATATTTATGCCAAATGGAGATCTTTGAAATTCTGAAACCTCTGGTCCCAGGAAATCTTTGAAAATATTAAATACAATAAACCGTTTTCTGTCTTTTTTTTTTGTGGGGGTGGGGGGTGGGCGAGTTCCCTCATTTTTAGGATTTTGGAAAACACTGTGTTAACTGTTGAGAACCCTTAATTCAGTTTTAAATTAGTATCTTTGTAAGCAACATACCAGGATTTGAGGATTTGGTTCAACTGTAGGCAAGTAGGTTGAGACAAACATTTTGCCAAGACTTTCCAACAATGCTTCTTTTCTCTCTGGCTTTTTAAACTGCTTAGAGACTTTGCTTGCCAGTGCTTGAGCAATTTTGTGTTCCATCTAAAAGAAAAAAGAACCATCTATACATTTCATCTTATGACTGCAGGGCCCCTGCCATTGTCAGGTCACATTTTTGTCACATGTGACTAGAGTAACATGATAAATCATAAGCGATATCACGAGAAGTTCAATAATGACTTCTATAGCTGAACGAAACAGTGTAAAGCCATCATACACTTCATGGTTGTGAAAAAAACTCTACAAATGCCATAGTAGATATTCTCATTTTTAGAATATTTCAATTTGTATAAATTCTAGATCATGACATAAAAGAAATGTCATCCTGAAGTTTGAATTTTAGCTCAATTACACTGGTAAGTGGAAACTCATTTATGTAGGCTTTAAATCCCGATTAGATACAAACTTTTAACATCCCAAACAATTACACTGAATACTTTTTATCAATATTACGGAAACTGAGGGCACAAGTGGTAGTTCATTTTTTCTAAAACAACAGTAGTGAAACTATTTCATGAATCCTAAATTCTCCACAAACCAAATTTCCAGACTTATAGATCTCATAGATTTATGTATTATCAGAATTCAGTTTTAGATGTTTGAAAACTGACCTTGTGCCAGGGAGCATCGGGAAGCAGTGTCTGTTGGTAACTGGAGTTGAGCCAGTCCTGGGAGAAGGGGCGCTGGTTAACGAAGTCGGGATTGTCCGGATACTCCACCTTTGCCCCCACTTTGGGAGCTCCCATTTTGTTTGACATGATGATAAGATTTTGTCGCAAATCTTCAATGTCTAGTATGTCTAAGATTTTTATGGTTTTACTTGATATTTGAACAAAATATTCCCTTATTGACTGAAGTATTGATATCAGTTTTGTGGACTGGCTGTTTACCAGGTATGCAAACAAACTAAACTCAAATAATGACTAATCAAAAATAAAAACCTACAAAATATATATATTAAACTTATATATGATATAAAACTGCTTAAAAATAATAAGCAATATAAAGTAATATTTTACATCAATTATATTACGACTTCAATTGATGTGTCAAAGTTTAAAGAATAGTATGTATCATGGATACATGGATATTCTAACATTAAAAGCAACCACTATTAAATAGCTTAGCATTGGCTTTTCTCTGTGTACAACATTCAGTTACAATGATATTTACAGTCAGGTGCATAACTTGGTTATTTACATATCCTGAAGGTATATATATATACACAGGCCTATAAAAATAAATACTGTACAGATATGTTCCTATCACAACAGTCTCTCACACAGGCAGTGACGCCTGGAGGTCAGGGGGGTTCTCCCCGTAACAGTGCTTGGTGTCAGAGTTCCTGTACGAGTTCTCATGTTGTACACTCTGCAAGAGAAAGAAAGAAAATGTGTCAAGGTATTTATCTTTACATCAATAAGGAGAAAATGAAAAACCCTCATATAAATTCAATTATATTTCTGGAGCTGTAGAGCTACAAATTGTAAACGATCTATTACAAGATAAATAATGGGAACACATGCATTAAAGTAATAACATAACTGAGATAAGAATGGTTTGGTAAAAAAAAGTCAGAAAATCTAGAACATTGCATCTCACAAATGTTTGAAACAAAATGATTGACAGCTAAAGTGAAGAAATGTATGACCCAATTCTTTAGTATACATATTTTATCATTTTGGTATGTAGCTAGCTAGGTTGACATTCAGAATACATAAAAGAAAATATAGTATTTATAAACAAAGTTTCTTGATAATCTGACCAGATATCAATCAACTTGATTCACATAGAACTAGAACGAATATTGGACAAATATTTAACTCTACAACCTTGTAAATTATTGTAGGAAAGTATTGAATATGCTAACTGTAAGCCAGAGGAACAAGATTGGTACAATTACACATTCAAAGACTTACTTTGCATAACAGCTACCTGTATGCCTTTGATTTTGTCATGACACATTCCTTGGGTGCAGAGAACCTAAGTGAGTGTGACCCCTGGAATTTCGAGGGGTTTCTCTCATTAAGATTTACTTAAGTAAGTTGTATCTCATTTTTTTAAAATATAATTTACCATTGATGAAGTTCTACACTTGGAGAGACAAAGTTCAAACAGATTATCTACAGATGCAAACAGCTTATCCAGGGCTTCTCTTCCTTCTTTCAGAATTTTCTGCATCAAAGGTTTCTGAATTTAAGATAAAAATGAATTATTATAAATGTCATTAACATGATTTTAGCCTGTAATAAGTATATGAAGTGAACTTGGTTAACTGTATGTAGAGTAGATTAAAAAAACCAAGAATAATATCTGGGCTCCTCATACAAAACTTATAATTAGGCTACTAGTATACATACTGTTTTTAAGTGTTCTAAACTGTATTTTTAGATGCAGAGAAAATAAAGAGCAACCAAGAAAATTGGAATCATCCAACAAGTTGTGTCCAAACATCATCCGATACATTAGGACTGTACAAACCATCACCCTGTTCCATCCAGACTTTTTATACATAACATAACATTAAAATGTAATCATGGAAGTATTTTGTGTGGAGTTATCCATGAATATACCACTTTTGTTAACTGATGAAATTCTGTAAAATTCAAGGATAAACATAAAATAAATAAAAAAAACATTGCTAATTGGTACATTGTGATAGTTGATACAGTCCTTAGTGTTTTGTGTTTTTGTTTTTTGTTTTGGTTTAATTTTAAGCTCTCACAACCATAGTATTGATTATATATATGACAGGTGGTTAGTCAGAAGACTTGTGATAGGACTCCTGAATAATCATTGATATTGTTATGATATGCCTCAGAAACTTCATGAAAAAAATAGTTTTGCTGCTTTTTAATTGAACGGAAACCACAAACATTGCTTATGGACATTTACCTTCTCTGGACGCAGGCAGCAAGACACACAATATTCATATGTTTCACAACATCCATTCTTCTTACAGGTATCACAGCTGTGCTTTGATGTGTGGGCATGTTTGAGGTCACAGCATCCCCCACTTACGACATGTCCTCGGTCACACACATAACCTGCAAAGTTGGTCAAGGTCACTGTAAATAGTATCAACTAAACCTAACGTAATATAGAAAAGTAGGTCAAGGTCACTGTAAATAGTTCCAACTAAACCAAACATAATATAGAAAAGTAGGTCGAGGTCACTATAAATAGTATCAACTAAACCTAACATAATATAGAAAAGTAGGTCAAGGTCACTGTAAATGGTAACATCCAAACCTAAAGTAATGTAGAAAAGTAGGTCAAGGTCACTGTAAATAGTACCAACTAAACCTAACATAATATAGTAAGGTCAAGGTCACTATAAATTGTACATGTACCACCAAAATTAAACCTAAAGATATAAAGATAAGTAGGTCCAGGTCACTGTAAATAGTACCAACCAAACCTAATGTAATATAGAAAAGTATGTTAAGGTCACTGTTAATAGATCCAACTACAGTAAACCTAACACAATATACTATAGGAAAGAAGTTCAAGGTCATCACTGTAAATATTATCACCAAAACATTAAGTTCTATACAAAAGTAGATGAAGGTCACTAACTAGTAACATTCATTAAAAAACATAAAAACATTAAAATAAAAAACAAGGCTAATGTAAACATTGTCACTGTCTGTTGAAAATACAGGAAGCTTGTCAATGTTAAATGTACATATAAAGCACATTTCAAGCATTTTCTTGTAATTTTACCAATTCAGTATACCAGTAAGTTCTCTTACTGCCTGTATGAACCATATCATAATTATCAGACAATTGTTTACAAAATATGTACAAATTATTTTCTTTGCAACACAACAAACCTCGTTCATCCACTATAAGTTTTTGCCCCTGAACAGAATTCCTACATATCCACTGTCGACTTGAGTTAGCCTCTGGCAGATCTGGGATCTTCGGTTGCCACTCAAACGGTTGCCTTAAAAATGTCCGCTTTATTTCATACTGCTCATTGACTAGGTCCTGGTTCTGTAGTAAATAAAAAGATGAACAAATAGGTGATATGTCAGTACAATTAATACATTAACATGTAAATAAAATGAAGGTGACAACAGTAAATGATGTGAAAATGGAAAAAAATCTAAACCATTCCACAATCAAAAAAAACTGAGATCATTCAGTATATGTGCACCTTTGTCTGAAAATAAAGGAATTTTGAACTTTCAGTTAATGTATATTTTTATAAAATGACTGAGATGCAATAGCAGCCACATGAATAAGTTTTTAATGCTGTTTGACAACATCTACCTAGCAAGTATAGGTAGTGTGGGAAAACTGGTTTCTAGTGTCAGTTCTATTATATCCTTATTATCCTTGTGTATTCCTTTGTTATACCATTCTACAAATAACCAAACGGGTAAGGTAGGGCTGCTCGTTTGGCATATGCTTCCAGTCGAGCAGCAGCCTACATGTTTTTGTTTACATATAGGTGTATCAACATTTGCGACGACAAGACTTTGTTGAGCTGCCGGTGGACGTTCCGACCTCGACTAATATGCTATAAATTTGGCCATTCAGAATGGGTGTGCGATACGGGGTACATAGGACCTGGAGGTGGGGGTATAAATTGGGATGCATGGGCAAAAACAATGACTTGCGTGGCTGGTCGCAGGCTGATCGGGAGAAGTATCTTCTCCACCCGGAACACTGCTGCACGTGTACTGTAGCAGTATAACCCTGAACACTGTAGCCCGACTATTCAAACCTGTGTCCGACTGTACAGACAGACGTAGTTAAAGATTTCTGGGGATTGCCGAGGGTCACTTTGTCTGTAGTATTTGGCTAAAACTAATTACTATATTATCACATTCATCTACCGACACTGGACAGGCTCTCCCCATGGATGCCCCAGTGCTCCAGATAACTTTTGAACATGTGGGGTTTTTCACCCCTACCTCTCCAAAGTGTTGGGGTGAAAACTTAAATTTTAAACCATGAAGTGCTGTAAAAGCAACGTTACCTGAAAATGTTGAAATAAGATGAATAATTTTTATGTGTTATTCTTATAGTATACGGTTAAGAATGACTCAAATTCATATTTTTGTGTTGTCTTGACATGTGGTATTATTTTTCCATTTCACTGTGATTGTGTTTAAATGTTTAAACCCAAAACTCAATGAGTTGCATATTTTTTTCGTTTGAATAGTACACATATCCTTCTTCGTTTTTTATCATTCCATATTCGAACAGCCCTTCTTGGCTCAAAGTCAGTTCAGGTCCTAACATGTTGATTTTCATCAATGTATTGACAGTTGCTGCTTTGAGAGAGCATCTTAACCGTGACTTTAGGCGGTTTTGCACACTGAATGATCGTTCACATTCTATTGATGTTATACACAAGGTTAATGCAATTTGTGCTAAAACAGAAAAGTTTGGAATCATTTTTGAATGAAGTAAAACTACCCGCCGATTGTTGACATTTTGATAGCGCCATAATTTAATTCTCTCTCGTGTTAGCGTTTGTAACAGGAGGCATTGATATGCAAGCGTCTTGGTGACTCACTGTAAGCGTATTATGATATGCTAAATTGGACCCGGAGACTGACGCAATGTTATATAATTACAATACATCAAACGACCTAGACCATTTTACTCCATCTTGGTTTATGCGAGTAGTACTGTTAAGGAAAGAAAAAGATTTCTCTGAAAACCCATGCTACAAATACTTTGGAGACTGAACACTGTCTGTCATCTGTCGGTGTAGTTACCATTCAGACAAATCTCATGCTTGTGTATAGGTAGCTCATTGGAAGAGAGTCCATCTAGAGTTTGGAGGGTCCCGTGTTCAAACCCAGTCTGGCTGTGCATTTTTCCTCTCATCAGTTACAGTGGTGCCTGTGACCAACCCTTGGTTCACGCATTTGGTGAATACCTTGACAAAGGGATACCTTAACCTGGGTTGTAAATATTTGTGTCTTCGTGGGGCAAAGACTTATTAAAAGGAGGGAGGAATGTAGCGAAACTGGACTGGGTCGATCGTCAGCAACCAGGTAGTTCATTGGTAGAGCGTCCGTCTCCTCTCCTGTTACACTTTTTTTCTTTAAATTTACAAGCCACATATAGTCCATAGCCAAACCGATTTTCAGGATGATTGAAATCTGCTCAACAACTTCTTTTCTCAGAAATTTTGTTGATTACCTTTGATTTAAAACACTCACACTCGAAAAAAAAAACCACGTTATGATATCTTGCCTTTTGAGGTTGAGATAAGATTGTTTGGCAAACAAACCATTGCACAACTGATACGAAAATATTCCATGATGATGATGATAATCCCACAATGTATTGTGCTTACAGTATGCATATATGTATACCCGCAGAAAATTATTATAATTCTATATGTAGCAACATGGCTGCCAGTGTTGTTAATGTTAGGTACCTATGTTTGTCGGGAAAAGGTCTACAGACATATCTAGACAGATAAGTTTTATATTTGGAATGCAACACGATTTCACTGTAAACTTGCGGAGTACAACACTCAGGTAATAATACTAATGAGTTAATGACACATAACAACGACATATAACATTGTATAGCTAGATAGTAAAATGATGAACAAACATTACTGTTATATTAATATTGTGAAATACAACCGTCATGAAAGAAGTCTAACCGAAGTCTTAACAAAATGTAAACACTGCCATTGTGAAACCTAGGCCTAGTGAACAAATGTTGACCGGTGTTGTGGTTATATTTCCACACTATTTAACAACCAATATATGAATAGATGGGTGACAGTTATATGTACTTACATTTGAAAGAGTTTTTGACAGTAAAAATATCAAGGAACCAATGAGAAACACCGTCAGGACCCAACGTCTTCGGAATTTCCGAATTTTCAACATTGGCATCGCTGGGTTCCATGGACTTGCTATTTATATTAGTTTCGTAGATAAATTATTTAACAATAAAAGCCAATATAAAAACTCATTGACATGTGATTTAAACAGCCAAAATATTAGTTAACAGCAACAGAGTGTATAGAAAACGAGGAAATTGACCTAACCATCAATATACGAAACTAGGTATATATCAATTCCATCCAATCAAATCACTCTTTTCGCTTCGCAAAATATTCCCGCGGGAATTTTAAAGAGAGCATTAAGCGGAAAAAGCTAGGTGACGTTATTTTAATCACGACTCTGTTGATAGGCCTGCCCACCTCATGATCTTTTACTCAGTTTCATTTTAACCATCACTGAAGTCCATTATAATATACAGCACACTTTTAATATGAAATAGGCACTGCCTATAAGTGAGCGCACATACATGTAGTTCAGTAACCCCTTTGTGATGAAAGTGTAGATCTCGGGGCGCCTGTGGGACATACGTGCGCTGAATATTCTTCGATGAAAAAGAAATGAATGGTAGTTAAAAAATGTATTTTAATTAAGAAAACCTTTCAGATATTCCATGTAGGCCTTTTTGTTGTTACTTATTTACTATTATTTTAACACACTCAAGTTGTCAATCCTTTAGGGCAAAATTTTCTTTAAATAACAACTAGCGGAGAGACACAGACCACGTACATTTGTAAACGTCATAGAAAAATAAATGAACTAAACCAATAAGAAATATTTAAGGTATATCTGAAAACACACTTTTAAAAGTAAAGTAGACAAAGGGTTTTTGACGACTCGTATTTATATTAACCACACACATTTTCGAAATATTAGTCTATAGATTAAAAGACAATTGGTACAATTTTGACGTGTTTTTTTTAGTGATATTTTAAAATCCATTAATTGTATCTGGAATATTTCTTGATTCTGTTTTGATCCCAAATGCATTAAAATTCAAAACCTTTAAATGTACTTTGAAATGACTGTTTCTTTAATTTCGAATACTTCCCAAATACTATTATGAACATATTTATTTATATTTCTAATTATTGTTACCATGGTAACAATTTTAAATTTGCATAAATAAGAAAAAAATGATTATTCAGTGAATATTGTGATATTTTGCATAGTTTTTCTTCTAGAAACTATAGAGCGCATGCTTGAACAAAATTAATATCAAAGGATAATGTGTAGGCACCTGTAATACATCTTTAGGAGAAATATAAAGTTTGTTCAAGAGTGCGCTCTATGGTAGCTAAGAGAGAATCTAGGTGAAAACCTGTCAAAATAGACTGAATAATCAAACTTCAATAATTTATGCAAATATGACCTGGTTACCATGGAACCCAAAATTGAAAACACAAATAAATGTTTACATAATAGTACTGGGGAAGTATTGAAAATTAAAAAAACAGTCATTTGAAAGTTCTATTGCAGATTTTTAATTTTGATGGATTTGGGGACCAAAAAGGCCCAAACCATACAAAGTCCTTTGTTTTTAAAAATAGAGCGTTAAACTTGCAGTGAGATTCCATCCGTTTTTCGGCCATGATTAGTACCCAAATTGGTACACCGTATCACAGGCTCTGAAACTCAAGTTACAAGGTTTCAATTCTACTAGTTGATGTGTCCATTTCAACAAACTGTAACGCTTTTATAAATGCCATACTGCACTACAACTGTATATATATAGATCTATAAGTTACACTTTTATAGTATCCGGTTACGAGGACCAGGAATCAATACTTCAACATGCTTTTAAAATAACTACCCTCAGTTAACAGTATTGTCGTTAACCAAAATTTCGTCGACGTTCCAGGTTTTCTGACATGCTTTTTTGTAAAAGATGCGTATTGATTAGTTTGCCTTACAAGCGTCAATTGTAGGGAACTTCCATATAGTTAGCTCAGCGGTAGAGCATCTGGCTGGAGAGCCAATGGTCGCGGGTTCGAGCTCCAGCGACGACATTATCTTTAAATACCACTATTCCTCGTCCTACTACAGTTTACTTTGTAGTCATTGATGAGTACTCCTAAAATGTCGATGAAAACAGTGGAAATACTGATAAATATCTCTATTCTTATAGCATCACAGGTATATACACACATTAAATTTTAAAGTACTATTCGAACCATTTTCTGACGTGTACAAATTGGGGTAGTGTACCAATTGTGGTAGCCTGACGTTATATCGTTAATGATGAATATCATATTTAGAGTTATATAAAAGTTCCTGTGAAGCCCTGTGAGTATCTAATGTATTTTTGAATGTGGTAAGGCGAAGTTACAACAATCTCCGATAAATATTCCATATATATATTCACTACTCGAAGTGAGACAAGTCACACAAAGTTCTTGCCCGTTGTTGTAATGCGGTCATGCTATTCCACTATACCATTTAATATTCATCACGAATCAACTCAGCTGTGCCTCTATGCGACGTGCCTGATCTATGTAAAGGTTATTGCATGGTTTTCGAGTAACAAGGGATTTATTACACCCGAGGGAAGCGAGGGTGTAATAAGTCCCGAGTGACGAGAAATCATGCAATAACTGGCTTACTGCATGCTTCCAAACTCGAACATAACAGAAACGTTGAGTAAAAAATGTTCACCTGAACAATCTTTTTACCTACCCTACACTGCAGATAATTATCATGTACCTGTGTGAGTGAGTACTAATCATAACCAGGTAAGATTCTCAATAGCCCAGTCTGGGTGCATCCTTCATAATGGATACAAGTGTTTTTGGATTACTATCCAGGTCCAGTGTCAGGGAAGGTAAGGAGTGTCTGTTCAACAATTAGAACAAAATACGGGACAGAATGTTGAATTTCTGACTACATTTTCAGTTTAATTTTCAAGATGTGGCAAAGGTACAGGATATTGAAACATTTTTCATGCATACAATGTAAGGGTTTAACAATTAGGAATTCCAGTTCTTTCAATGAATGGTATATTTGAATGTGCAATTTTGTATAAAGGAACAGCTCCAAAAGATTATAAACTTTTCCAGGAAATGCTTATCCTCTCGCGTGATAAGGAAATCTTTTTTGTGTTTTTCAATCATGAAATTACCATTTTTAACTTCATTTCCCCCCCTTATTTTAAAATGTGTCAACTAAGTTTCGTTACTCACTAATTGATTATCTCCCCTTTCTTACAGTATTTGTGACCACAGTCCACTGGGCACCCCCCCTTTCATGGTCATGTAATCATGATTGGCCATGAAAGGGGATTATGTGGGCGGTGGACTGTGGTAGCAAGTGATTTATTGCACACACTTTTCCATTGTGAGAGGTGGGAAGTATGCAGTAATGAGAGTGATCACACATCACCTGAAATGCATCGACTTGACCCCCGTTGAACGATAACGTTCACTGACAAAATGTGCCCTTTGACCTATACGATAGCGGTTAACAGTTGTCTCCCTTGACCGGTTAGGGTGACCGACGTGCCAGTGCCTTCCATGTATTGCACCTGTACACACAACCTCTGACTTCTTACATCAGAGAGTCATTTAGACGAATACCAGGTATCAAGTAAGTTAGACAGCACTAGTAGTCAATAATCACTGCAATTCATAAGTGGGCGTGGACTGGTAGTTCACTCATTTCCTTTGTTTTCGTTTTACCCTTTGAATTCGAGTTATCTTTCTTCGATTATAAAAAAAAGTTTTTGACAGCTAAGTGCTACTGCTGAATTTTAAGTGGAAATGATATTTTGGACCGCATTAAAGTGTAAAATTATAACAAACGCATGTCGGATATGTTGACAGTCATTCAACTGAAGTTGTGAAGTTTTGAAATACCTTGGCTATCACACAGATGATTATGAGATTTCCTACATCTAAATATCAATAAAATGTTGTATTTATTCATTTGTAAATGAACTGGTCCTGCTGAAGTCAAAAGTAACAGAAATGGTACCAAGATGTCATTTCAAACATTTTTAACATCATGTTCAAAGTTCATTTTCATCAGTCCATGCAGATATTTTTATGCAGACGTTTTTGTTTTTGGATCATATAAGACAATAATATATTCATAACTATTTTCGTTCAAAATAGTATTTCATAAAACTTTTTTTTAGCTTTAGTCCGTAACTGGATCTTTTTATAAGACAAGCGGCCCAAGTGAATTTCTCTTATAAAAAAACACAACATTTCTTCTAATTAAATCTGGCACTGATGACTTCCAAGTCTCAATATTATTCTTCCAGTTTCACACGAACTTAAAACTTGCTCAAAATAACACATTCCTTTCTTTGTTTTAGTACGTAGATATGGTGTCGGTACCAGTGGTTGTGGTCACTATAGTGACAGGGTACCTTATATGGAAACTGTTATGGTTTGTGGTGACGTACCGGAAGTGGGACCACATACACAATTCAACGACACCCCTCGGAACTCGACATCCGATCTATGGCACGATGCACCATGTAAGTCTGAAAGGGGGTGTTTGTGGACAGGTCTATGTATCTTTATGAAATGAAGTCGAAGACGAACTGTTAACGATTTCGTCTTCATAGAAAGAATGTAAAAGAAAACAAGAGGTCCAGAAGGGCCTGTATAGCTCACCTGTTTGTGTTGTTACATAGAGTTGTTGGCCAAATATTGTGAAGTTAGGTTGATTGGATATTCAAGAACGGCTGAAGGTTTACAGTTATTTGACCCCTGTGATCTTAAAAGTAGGTCAAGCTCATTTTCATTCGCAAACTTTGTTGTGTGCCATCATAAGATGAGACTAGCCATATATCATGACTCTAGGCCTTTCGGATCTTCAGAGGAAGTCGTTCGAATGTTTTGACCTCTTTGACCCCTGTGACCTTGAAAGTAGGTCAAGGTCACTTTCATTCGCAAACCTTGTCGGGCTCCATCATAGGATAACAATGGCCAACGTATAATGACTTCAGGCCTTTCGGTTCTTCAGAAGAAATCGTTTAAAGGTTTAGACCTGTTTTACCCCTGTGATCTTGAAAGTAGATCAAGGTCATTTTCATTCGCAAACTTTGTTTGGCTCCATCCTAGAATGTTACTGGCCAAATATCATGACTGTAGGACTTTCAGAAGTCGTTGAAACAAAAAGTTGACGGACGGACGACGGACGACGGATATAAGCTTTCATGCCCTTCGGGCAGGTGGTGAGCTAAAAAACAAACAAAAACGAAAAGATGATTGTTGTCATTTTACGTTTTAAGCGAAAGTCACTTATTATAGTGAACTCAGATTTTCGTTTTTAATGACATAATTGTTCTTTCCTCACTCGTGTGATGCCAGTTGACCTAATTTGACTTAATAGCACGGCTCTTGGCAAGCAATTTCAATGATATTTGTATATATATGAATAATTTTGAAAACGTGAGTTAAACTTTAGAAGACAAAAAAAAAAAATCCTTAAGTATGAATGTCAAGATATTGACTTGATATTGCATAGAGCATTCGTTAACAAAGGAAATGAAATATGATGATGAAAGGTGTGGCTCTACTAGGATAGTGTTTAGTATGGAAAATGGGGCAAAACATTTTCTTTCAACTTAAATGATATTAGCGAATGTTAACAAAAGGCGAAAATATGATAATTATTATGATACAGAAAAGAAGACACAAAAAGTAAATTATCAGTAGATGCATTGATTCTTATAACGAAAAGAACATACACAAATATCAACATAATAAATGGGCACCAACCTTTCGCGATATGGATAATAACGTCATGACGTTTGTCGACATTATAGTTTTTGTTTTTAGTACTCAGACGCAGAAAGCTTTCTCAAACACGCCATGTCCAGACTGGAACAGACTCGCGCCAAAATGATGTCAGGCTGGTTATTCTTCCTCTTCCCAACGTTTGTAGTGTGTCATCCGGACACGGCCAAACTGCTGCTCCGCTCGTCCGAGCCGAAGGCCAGGCGGTTCAGCATGGTCTACCGATCGTTCTTACCCTGGCTGGGTAGGTGTCTCGAAAATATTCAATGCGCATTTCAATGTACATCTATCTCAAGGCATGTTCCTGTTATTAATTTAAATATTGCTGTGAATTTAGTTACTGTATTTTCGTATGACCTTAGCTTTTTTTCCACTACGTTTTCTTCAAAAGTGAATTTGCTTACGTTCTCAACGCTTTCTTTATCCTCTTGAATTCTTCACTTTACTCTGTCACTCTAGGTGATGGTTTACTGGTGAGTGATGGACCGAAATGGGAGCGTAACCGGAAACTGCTGACTCCCGCCTTCCATTTTGATATACTGCAGCCATATGTAAACACATACAACAAAGTCACTGATATATTATTGGTACGGTTGGTATGCTGGTCAGTCTGAACATGGCTGGTCAGTCTGAACATGGCTGCTTGTCTTCCGTCTTTGAACTATACTGGTTATCTCACCAAACCATTGGTAAAACATAGTAGCTCAATCAACACTGGCGCGCTGCGTACACACCGAAAGTAAAATAAAAACGTATCCTTCAGCGTCAATACATAAAAAAACCACACGCTGCAACACACCAGGAAAAACTACATCATAGCGTCGACACGTAAGGACAAACTACTGCATAGCGTCGACACGTAAGAAAAAACTACATCATAGCGTCGACACGTAAGGAAAAACTACATCATAGCGTCGACACGTAAGGGAAAACTAGATCATAGCGTCGACACGTAAGGAAACACTAGATCATAGCGTCGACACGTAACGAAACACTACATCATAGCGTCGACACGTAAGGGAAAACTAGATCATAGCGTCGACACGTAAGGGAAAACTAGATCATAGCGTCGACACGTAAGGAAAAACTAGATCATAGCGTCGACACGTAAGGAAACACTAGATCATAGCGTCGACACGTAAGGAAAAACTAGATCATAGCGTCGACACGTAAGGAAAAACTAGATCATAGCGTCGACACGTAAGGAAACACTAGATCATAGCGTCGACACGTAAGGAAACACTAGATCATAGCGTCGACACGTAAGGAAACACTAGATCATAGCGTCGACACGTAAGGAAAAACTAGATCATAGCGTCGACACGTAAGGAAAAACTACATCATAGCGTCGACACGTAAGGAAACACTACACCATAGCGTCGACACGTAAGGAAAAACTAAATCATAGCGTCGACACGTAAGGAAAAACTGGATCATAGCGGCGACACGTAAGGAAAAACTAAATCATAGCGTCGACACGTAAGGAAAAACTGGATCATAGCGTCGACACGTAAGGAAACACTAGATCATAGTGTCGACACGTAAGAAAAAACTAGATCATAGCGTCGACACGTACTACATCATAGCGTCGACACTAGATTTACCTCAATGTCATCACATAACGACAATATTTTTATCGATACGTCAATGCATAGGAACAGAAGTTACCTCAATGTCATCACATAACGACAACATTTTTATCGGAACGTCAATACATAGGGACAACAAAGGTGTAAGACTTACAATTGATATTTCTAAATATGAACATTTATCACATACTTACTACTAAATACGCAATTCTCGCCCTATATTATACGACTAAAATCACGTGACCCATATCAGACCGGCCGGTCGGAAAATGCATATCAGGATTTTCGGAACACCTCGTGACTATTCGGTCCGGAACACATCTGGAGTTATCGTGCCGTTTCTATGCGTGCGATTGTGTTTTTATTTCATTAAAATGTGTTGATCACCAAAGTTACAATTTTTATTGTATTGTTTCTGTGCGATTTTCCTAATCGACACACTAAAATTGGCATTTATTCCACTTTTTTTCTAATATACATTTTCTATCGATGATCTTTGGTGAAAAATTGCTTGAAATTGAAGTTCGTAACTGATAATTGAACAAAAAATGATCGCCCAAAATGTATGTTCAAGTATATGATAAACAGAATAAAACATGGTAAAATCCATATCACATGCCATATCAGCCCTCGACCAATATCAGACCGAGGGCTTTGGCCCTCGGTCTGATATTGGGTCCTCGGGCTGATATGGCATGTGATATGGATTTTACCATGTACTTTTCTCTGTTTATCATATGTTTACTCAGAATATGAGTGTTTTTGCATATTTGATAACTTCTGACCACTCCTGATACCACTTCCGGTCACCCGCGTGATAAGTTTCTCGTAATGCCCCCTCCCCCCCCCCCCTCCATGCGATAACAATGCTCGTAATGCACCACCTGTTCGGAACACCTCTACTTCTGTATTAGATATGGGAAGCGCCCGAAGCGTTCCGAGTAAAATCCGGATTTGCGCTGTCAGTTGTTTTTTTGCATAGACAGTGTGTTGAGCAGACGTCAACAAACAAAATGTTAACAAACCAGGGGGAGGAAATACTTAATTCTCTAGCGTCTAGAATACTTGAATTGGATGACCTCATTGATAAGGAAAATGCACTGAATCTCAGCTTGTAATAATCTGTTTCAGTTGACATTGTTTATTAAATTATCTAATTGTTTTTCCTGTTGACTTGATTTTTTGTTACTTGAACATATGGTAAAAAGTTTATAATATGACCATTTTGATATCATATCCCTTATCAGCCCTCGGTCCCGATATCAGCCTTCGGGGCCAATATAATAACCTCTAAATACTACAGCGATAGACGACATCTCATGGGCATTTATAACTTATAACTTGTAATAACTTGCAGGTATTAGAGAATGTTCATTCTGCAAAATACTGGAGCTAACAAAATCATAGGTATGAGGTTAAAGTAGCTTATACAATAAAGTTGTCTGACCAGGTCTAGGTGAGAAGGAGCGACGCCGTTTGTATAAAAACTAATATGGACACATAAACATACTCTTGTAACAGTACACTACTTTTGATGTTTCCTTGGTTACCAGGACAAGTTATGGTCGGAGAGTAAGAGCGGTCAGTTTGTAGAGGTGGCCGGACCGGTGGGACTAGCCACGCTGGACACTATGCTGAGATGTGCCTTCTCGTACGAAGGAGGCGTTCAAGTTAGAGGGTGAGGTTACAGAGTAAATAGACATAATTATAACATCTAGGGGATTCTTACAGGATGAGTATCATAGTCATGTGACATGTCAAGTAATGAAAATTTGATTAAACGATGGTATAATTTTAAATATGGCAACGCATGCCTTCTATAGACTTTTACAACTGTACCGTGTATTCCTTTAATATATACGACCAACTTTTCTTTTTAAATTGCAGTTCTTTCCCCCTTAGTGGGAGATCCTAAATAAAGGCTATCCCAATAGCTGTAGGGGCTTTAGTCAGTATTTGGAGGTTGAGTTAAATGGTTACTCATGCAGTCAAAGTTGGCCTGCTGCATTCCAATGGATGGTATGGTTACTTAAGTCGATGGTCAGAATTGTTTAGCTAGGCTCGTTGATTCACAATTGGTGGTTGGGTTCTCTGAGCTCGTTGACTATCACAGTAGGAGGTTGGGTTGACATCACAACAACTGGTGGTGGTTGCGGTTCTGTAGCCTCGTTGCTACACGATTGGTGGTCTTGGTTAAGAGCACGTTCCCAAGTGGGAGGTCTAGGCAAATGTTATCTCGCCAGTTGGGATCAGTTTGGTCAGCTTGAAAAATGACCCCATCAGATGCGATGTAGACTGCAGGGTTATCTCTGTCATCTGTGTGCGTGTGTGGTGGTGGGGAGGGGGTTGTTATGGTTCAAGACAAACTCCCTTAGTGGTTTTGGGGTATGTTTTTTTTAGTGGTGATGAGTGGACCAAGGGGTTCTTCATTCAGAGGTCAGCGTTCAAGACGTTATGCAATGTTTGAGGTTAAATGTATCCCCATTTCCTAACCAGAGGTTCTCGTTCTTACCCGGAGGTTAACGCCAAGGGCCGGTTAGGTATTGTGTCTCAGAGAGCAAGCGTGAAACCAGATTGCAAAAGAGTCAACGCATGAAAAAATTACCAAACTGAATACAATATTACAATGAATGCTGTGTCTGTTACACTAATGCCGTGTCTGTTACACTAATGCCGTGTCTGTTACACTAATGCTGTGTCTGTTATACTAATGCCGTGTCTGTTACACTAATGCCGTGTATGTTAAACTAATGCTATGTCTGTTACTACACTAATGGCGTGTCTGTTACACTAATGCTATGTCTGTTAATACACTAATGCTGTGTCTGTTACACTAATGCTATGTCTGTTACTACTCTAATGCCGTGTCTGTTACACTAATGCCGTGGATGTTACACTAATGCTATGTCTGTTACTACTCTAATGCCGTGTCTGTTACACTAATGCCGTACATGTTACACTAATGCTATGTCTGTTACTACTCTAATGCCGTGTCTGTTACACTAATGCTGTGTCTGTTACTACACTAATGCTGTGTCTGGTACACTAATGCCGTGTATGTTACACTAATGCTGTGTCTGTTATACTAATGCGGTGTCTGTTACACTAATGCCGTGTATGTTAAACTAATGCTATGTCTGTTACTACACTAATGGCGTGTCTGTTACACTAATGCTATGTCTGTTACACTAATGCTATGTCTGTTAATACACTAATGCTGTGTCTGTTACACTAATGCTATGTCTGTTACACTAATGCTATGTCTGTTACTACTCTAATGCCGTGTCTGTTACACTAATGCCGTGTAGGTTACACTAATGCTATGTCTGTTACTACACTAGTGCTGTGTCTGTTACACTAATGCCGTGTATGTTAAACTAATGCTATGTCTGTTACTACACTAATGCTGTGTCTGGTACACTAATGCCGTGTATGTTACACTAATACTATGTCTGTTACTACACTAATGCCGTGTATGTTACGCTAATGCTATGTCTGTTACTACACTAATGCAGTGTATGTTACACTAATGCTATGTCTGTTAATACACTAATGCTGTGTCTGTTACACTAATGCCGTGTCTGTTTCACTAATGCCGTGTATGTTACACTAATGCCGTGTCTGTTACACTAATGCCGTGGATGTTACACTAATGCTATGTCTGTTACTACGCTAATGCCGTGTATGTTACACTAATGCTAGGTCTGTTACTACACTAATGCTGTGTATGTTACACTAATGCTATGTCTGTTTCTACACTAATGCCGTGTATGTTACACTAATGCCATGTCTGTTACACTAATGCTGTGTCTGTTATACTAATGCCGTGTCTGTTACACTAATGACGTGTATGTTACACTAATGCTATGTCTGTTAATACACTAATGCTGTGTCTGTTACACTAATGCTATGTCTGTTAATACACTAATGCTGTGTCGCGCTTCCTTGTAGAGAGAGCCACCCATACGTCCGTGCGGTCAAGGAGTTGTCACGCACGTCAAAAGAGTCAACGCATGAAAAAATTACCAAACTGAATACAATATTACAATGAATGCTGTGTCTGTTACACTAATGCCGTGGATGTTACACTAATGCTATGTCTGTTACTACGCTAATGCCGTGTATGTTACACTAATGCTAAGTCTGTTACTACACTAATGCCGTGTATGTTACACTAATGCTATGTCTGTTACTACACTAATGCTGTGTCGCGCTTCCTTGTAGAGAGAGCCACCCATACGTCCGTGCGGTCAAGGAGTTGTCACGCACGTGTATTCGGCGTACAATGTAAGTGATAGGTCTAAAGGAAACTGTATTCTTTGTCTAATCCGAACATAAACTATTGTAACAAAGGTTGTCGGTTTAAACAAGATTTGTAATCATGATATTACTGATTGGTTTACCAATATCACATACATGAATAGAGCGCTGATTGCCGACAACAACGTAATAACTAAAATCAGTCCCATGTAGATTGAATTTTCTGTTTTTAAGATTTGAAGGACATTTTTAACCGATTTAAGGAAATGACAAGCAACACTACTATTTTCTGTGACACATTTTTGTGGATACCTCCAGTATAATCTGTTTTTCATTTCCAGTCGACCTTGGTTATTCCCGGACCTGGTGTTCTACCTCACCAAGGAAGGTCGACAGTTCCGGTCTCTCACACAATACGTCCACGAATTCTCCTCTGATATCATCAAGGCCAGACGCAAATCGATCGTAAGTTACCTTCACAAATTCAGTATTCTTTTTCTCGCATTTCCATTGGCCGTAATCAAATACGTCTCACCTAGGAGTTGAACGAACGACGTCTCCTCTTGTATTCAAACAATATACCTTGAACAATAGATTCTCCTACTGGAATACAATCCAAAGACATATTCTGTAGAGGTCAAGCGATAGCCTTCTCCTTTGAAAGTCAAACCAAAGATACAGTGTCTTTCTGAGAGTCAAACTTTTAAAGTGTCGTTTACTGCAATGTCATAACTTTGACGCGAACATGCCACTTCACTCAAGTAACATTATTCTGACATTTAGTATCCAGATGTGTCGAAAGACACAACCCGACAAAAACATCTTGGAGAAAAAAAATCCGTTAACGTAGCAGTCCTAAGTGTTTGAAAAGGGGCCACTGATCAATTTTTATTTTTCCAAGCTCCCAATTCTGCAGTCATGCATTACCTCGAACCTGAGCTGGGGCTCTGGCCCTGTTAGAAGGTAACGGTAACAAAACACTGTACGCTATAACAGTATATTTCGCTGTTCCTCCCACAGGAGACAGACCCTTCCCAGCTAAAAAAACGGCGTCTTGATTTCTTGGACATACTTTTGGCAGCCAGAGACGAAACCGGAACTGGAATGTCTGACGAGGACATCCGGGCGGAAGTGGACACTTTCTTGTTTGAAGGTACCAGTAACACACATGGTTTAAGGCTATAGTGCTGTGTTTCAACCACCATAAACAACTCTTATTGTAACAATTATTATACAAAAAGTCACAAAATTACAACCCAGCGTATAGAGGTTTTTTTGTTTCGCATAAATTTGCAATCGAAAGTCTAATGTAGCCAACCGTCTGGTTACGGATGGGAGAATTAGTTATAGGTGGATAATTGTAACAAAACTATATCAAGTTGCTACGTTCTTTTGTTTTTGTATTTGTTTCCTTCAAAATTGGTATATTGAAAAAAAGATTGGTCTTTTTGTTTTGCTGTCGGAAAGAAATGTTAAGTAGAATATCAACGTGACCTTGAAGTTTTCGTTTAACCTTGAATTTATCTGTTTTATGGAACTATTGCCTCCAATGTTACGCCCGAGATGTCATATGAACAGTCAACTGATTGATTTTTGATGATTAAAACTATGAATTTGTATAACGCCACCAACAGAAAATCTGCCTAAGAATAGTTTCAGCTTATATTGCACGAAGAGTTGCAATGGCGCCGCGTCGACCGTCAGAGCTGTTCAACGTCAACTTAATTTTAAACATAAGGGTAACGCTGTTATGAAATGTAACATGTTTCCACGAGGTCATAGTTTGAGTAATGCAACTTGTACCTTTCCCCTCAACATATAGTATTATTATTTACTGCTACGGCACCGTTGCCATCTTCCGTAACCTTATGCACAATGTCAAGACGTTATCAATGACACTGACTACTATTTTCTACACTTAAGAGTTGCACGTGCTGGAACCATATACGAATTCGTTTTAGTCATCTCTACTACTGTAACGTCTGAAACTGATATTCATGAAATAATTAAGTTGCAGTTTGTAAATTTATGTTTTTTTGTTTTTTTTTTCAACTGTACGGATTCTAGTAAATCCGGCGTTGATATTCACTCTAGAATATGTCTGAAGTACTTCATGAATCTTAGCAGGGTTGCTATAAAGGTATCATATCATATTAAGACACATGAACACTTTATTCCTCGCAAATATTGCCTTGATGGATTTCTTTTAAGAAGCCTCAGTATATGTTAATATGCTACGTCCAGCGCACAATAGTACAGGATCGCATACCATGCCAGAATCAATGATAGTAAAAGTATCACCTTAACACCGACCCTTTACAGTAGCAGGTTTTCTGTAGTTTCTTTCCCTTTATTGCCTATAAGAAAGGTCAGTTGTTGGTAGGTCATGCTAACGAGATTAGTGCCCCTTCCACCTGACCTAGACAAGTATAATTAACGGTGTACCAACCTCTACGTTCTAGGACACGACACCACCGCCTCGGCCATTAGCTGGGCAATCTACGCCCTGGCAAAATACCCAAAGGAGCAGGAACACCTGGCGGCGGAAGTGGAGGAAGTTATCGGAACACGGACATGCGTAGAATGGTAATGCGAAAGTAATAGATAACTAACTGTACAGTAGAGATAATTGCACTACATACTAGTATAACTGTTTGAAATATTAGTCATACATAAATAAACGAGTTCATCTAAATAGGAACTCTAATGCCAATATCTCGGTGATACTTCGAAGTAACAATTACATTTTCTGTCCACGCCATTTGAATCGTAAGACACACGTGTGTATGACTGTACAGTGGTACTGGACATATATGCGAGTAAGGATTTTAATCTTAGTAGTGTAATTGTGAATAAGAAAGAATAGATATAAATAGAGGTACCTGGAACAAAAGTCATCACTGCAAATTGAAATAACAAACTTACATTGTGTATTTATGTACTAACAGACGTGAAGGTTATTAATTTCTTACAAGTATTAATAGTGCTATTAGAAATGGAGGTGTAAGATATCAATAAGCAATGAGACGTACACGGAAATGGGATACAAGATGTCAGTATATAATAGACGATCTGTACAACTGATATTACAAGATGTAAGAGCCAAGAGAAAACTGTCATTAATAGAATGACATTTAAGTCGTTACTTTTTATAGATTGTAACAAATCTTGAGTACTTTCACCAATTCGAATTTTTCTTCACAGGGAAGATTTGTCTAAGCTACGCTATCAGAGTCTATTTATCAAGGAGGTAATGCGCATGTACAGTCCCGTGCCGTTCGTGGCGCGGTGTCTAACGCGCCCCCTGGTGTACGGATCTACAGTGATTCCCCCGGGTTTTGGCGTAGACATCCTTCTAGTTGGCATCCACCATCATCCGGATGTGTACCCCGATCATGACGTAAGTCTTTGACACGCCCACAACGACCTACGTTTTTGATGATGCTCGATTTAAGTTGCGGTGCAAAATAAAAACAAACGCCATCTTGTTGTCGTAAGTTACGTTTAATCTTACGTGAACCTCAGGGCAGACGTAGACTTACACGTAAATTCAGACGTAACTTTATGTTACGACTTTTAGTGAAACTGGATTTAGACGGAAGTTACGTCTACGTTTACGTCTACGTGTGAACTTACGACCTTTAGTGAAACTGCTTTGTTGTTCAGCGTCATTTTCGTATTTCAGGACATTCGTGCAAATTAAAATATACAAAAAGTCAAAATATACACCGAACATGCTAAACAGCGTGTAGATATTATTTCTCCATTAACCTAGAGCACTTTGGCCCGAGTGGACACATTGATAAAGACAGTCAGTGATGTGTTTGTTTTCTTTATTGTTTGCTTGTTTGTGGGTTTACGTCAGCTTCATGACGACACATAACAATCAATTTTAACACCATAAATATGATGGGAAGACAATCAATAGGGAGGACTAAGGCTGTTCGGTATCATAATGGACAAAGAATAGTTTTTTCAACATCTCCCAAACAAATAATACAAACAGGCTAAATGATATGTAGACAGTTGGTCATCTCTTCTGATCATGTCTTCAGATTAATAAAATCTATTACCTGTAACTGAGCGAGATCGGGTTATCTCAGTCAAGGGTTAAGATTCTGTAACAAAATCTTAACCGAGACGTAAGCCGAAGGATGTTTCTTTCTCGCAACTTTTAGTTCGAAAAATAAAATTCAAGTTTTCTAAAAACAACAAGTATCCCGCCTTGGGGCTCAAGTGATAATGACCTCTTCACTACTTAAGCTACATTTGAATGCCTCCGCGTAAAAATGTAGTCCGTCCTTACATAGATTACAACGTATTTCACAGTGTTGATTATATTTTATCTACAGCATCAAATATCTTACAACGTCGAAACTATACATATAACGACAGAACAGAACATTTATAATGCAAATTGTATTTTTCAATCAGTTAACGCGCGGATAAATTCATCGCAGTGTAAAAATTCCGCGAAATGTCACAGATCGGACGAGATAGAAAAATCTAGCATGGGGTATGACGTGGGATATCTCTGTCTGAGGTGCAATCCATTATGTGCTTTAACATGAAGCAGCTAATCATGGAATCTTTGTGACACAAGAAGATGGCTGAGCTATGATTCAAGGTTAATTAAAAGGACAATCATGAAAACCACGAATGTTTAAACACAGCGAACCTTTCATGGTATACAGTATGTATAAGGTTTTACGTCCTCGTGAAAGACAACACCATCCACTGAGGAAGATGGTGCTTAGTGCCCATCGTGGTATCGTACCGTCTCTCTTTGTCATGCTGTGCTGATAATGAATAAACATATTAAGAAGATCAGTTTAAAAAATCACAAATGTTGAAATGGGGCAGAAGATCAATCGTACTCTATTAGAAATATCACCATTACATACAGCGGGATACGCCATGTCTATCTTTTCCTCCTAATCTACAGGGGATATACTATTTGAACGATCAATTTTCCTGTCATTTAGATTCACAAAGTTATAGTGTGCTGGAGATCGGTAAAGAATACACAGTTATTAAAGGTTAAGTTAATATACAATTGTGATTTGCTTAGGTTCCAAGACATTAACGTTTGCTTCCATTTTAAACAGACTTTCCGACCAGAAAGATTCGCAGACAACGTCGAGGAGGAAAGGGACCCGTACGCATTTGTACCGTTCTCTGCCGGCCCTAGGTAAGTCTGTCCTGATGTCCGTACCGTTCTCTGCCGGCCCAGGGTACGTTTGTCCTGATGTCTGTACCGTTCTCTGCCGGCCCTAGGTAAGTCTGTCCTGATGTCCGTACCGTTCTCTGCCGTCCCTAGGTAAGTCTGTCCTGTTGTCCGTATCGTTTTCTGCCGGCCCTAGGTACGTCTGTCCTGATGTTTCGTACCGTTCTCTGCCGGCCCTAGGTAAGTCTGTCCTGATGTCCGAACCGTTCTCTGGCGGCCCTTGGTAAGACTGTCCTGACGTCTGTACCGTTCTCTGCCGGCCCTATGTCAGACTGTCCTGATGTCTATACCGTTCTCTGCCGGCCCTAGGTAAGACTGTCCTGATATCCATACCGTTCTCTGCCGGCCCTAGGTAAGACTGTCCTGATGTCCGTACCGTTCTCTGTCGGCCCTAGGTAAGTCTGTCCTGATGTCTGTACCGTTCTCTGCCGGCCCTAGGTAAGTGTGTCCTGATGTCCGTACCGTTCTTTGCCGGCCCTATAGGTAAGTATGTCCTGATGTCTGTACCGTTCTCTACCGGCCCAAGGTAAGTCTGTCCTGATGTCCGTACCGTTCTCTGCCGACCCTAGGTAAATCTGTCCTGACGTCCGTCTGTCTGACTCGTAATTCGTTTTGGTAGTTTGCTATTTCTGTTTGGCTAATATATTCATTATCGTATATTTGCAGGAACTGTATCGGTCAGAACTTTGCTCTGAACGAAATCAAAGTTGTGTTAACAAGACTCCTGAGAAGGTACGTTCTGTGTATATTCTGCTCTCATCGTTAAGCTACAACTTACATAAATAATTCAGTAATGTATCAACTGTTACCTTGGTTTTATTGATACTCTATATATATACAAGCAGACCGAGTACTTTGTATTCAACATATCCAATAAGTTGCTATGACCGCGTTAATGTTCTCGGGAACAGATAGAGTAAATTGTCTCGTGCGCTGTGTACATTATAACCGTCGTGTTGGGGAAGGTCTGATCTACTAACTGTTAATGTCATCCTAACACGTAATGCCGGGGCTTTCGTGACAATTTCACTTAATGTTAGAAAATGCATGTTGCTTGCATCTGTTTTGAAAAGTTGGTTGCCACTTTAAAAACGCCTGGTTCCAAAACACATGAGCTTCATACGAAATTACATGATAGCAATACGAGTGGTTGGGCAAGTCACGATAATTACACATGTAGTAGGAAACGTCATGCGAATAACACGTGCAGTAAGAACAGTCGAGATAATTACACATTTGGTTGGCTACGTAATGATAAGATATCGGGTGCCTATAAAGACGACAGGGAGACATGTTTAGGGAGACTCCGATTAGTCAAGTGTTAAGAACGATAGGCTAAACACAGTCATATTATACTGACAAGTTTAATGCTGACGGTGTCGATACGATGACAAATCTTCACGAGACAGTAATTGTTAGGATGTGTATCTGTGTGTACTTCCAAATGTGTTTATGAATGATCTGATAATTCTTTGAATATAAACCTTGGGGGTAGACTGATGCATATTAATCATTAATGTTCCATATATAGACCGTTACTTCCGACCGCACACATATATAGACGGATATAACCTTAGAATCCATGATTGCTGCGGATAGTTACTATATAGGGAAAATAGGTTTGAACGCAAAATCTCAGAAGAGAAATTTATTTTGAAGTCTTATCTAATATTCTGTTTCGTTGATAAAGTCCGAACCCTTATTCATTTGTCTTGTCAAACTTCCGGAATGCTTGTGTGGTTTGTGCAAGTTTAATCTCCAAGTTGTAAAAAATAAGGATGCTTTATGTTATTTGCACCAATGTCAGGAACCTACATTCCCGTTTTCCATCGTCGATATGAATTAAATTTTACAAAAATTGATTACAGAGCAAATCTAATTGCTTTTGTCCATAATTATATACTTTGATCATTTGTCGACTAAGATCGAACACTGTACACTTGAAGTCCATTGTTTTAACACTTATATCCAACATCGTGCAATTAAGTATATTCTTTATTTTTTTATCTTGTGCTCAGAAATCCTAACATGCTGGTTATAGATACACGACAAACATTTTGATGCATTTGTTGCTAGCTTATATGACGTCATTGCATTGCAGATTCCGCGTAGAACTTGACGAGGATCACAAAATCGTATTCCTCCCGGATTTGGTGATGAGGGCAAAATACGGCATCAAAGTCAAACTGTGTCCTCGCTGACAGATATTTATGTTTCAGAAACAATGTAAAACTCAACGAATTTTTTAAAATCTTTTTGCCATTCAGCCCACAAGGTTTCATACGGTACGAAAATTCATTCTTAATCGTGTAAATCCATACACATCATATCGTAATCTTATACAAACACATATCTGCCGTAATCAGGACATATGCCTTACGTATCAGGCATACGGCCATATATATTTTAGTGTTTAATTTTAGTATGTTTTTCGTATTAGAGCAAAATATGATTTGACGTCATATACAGATTCAGAGTGAGGACTAGAACTCATTTTTGGTTTCTGCTTTGCTATTTTCCGTTGCCAGATCTGTTTGGTAAGGGAATGCTTTCATTGTTACGCAAGGCTATTTATCAAAATAACATCTTATCGTGAATTTATCGATAGTATAATCAGGTTTTTTGTGTGTTCTTATATCAGTGTTTATTCATACATATTCAATTTAGTATCACTTGTGCTACACTTAACGCTTTGAATGAACACACACAAGAAACTAAAAAGTATATTAATGGATTTCACCATAATCACGGTTTACAGACGTGTCAATTTAGTCCAGACGTTCACCACATACTGCTTACTAGATTAAGTCGGGATGAACTATTTCACAGAGATGCAATGCTGAATTCATGTTACGCTCAAATATAATTTGTGAACTCCCAATATTGATCAAGGTGATTCAATGTTGTGAATATAAAATGTGTTTTACAACTTGTCCTGTTTGCGTAGTCTTTGCCTTGTTCGGTATTGTCATTGTAACACGATTAAAATCGGCACTAAATGGGATATCCAATAGATAAAAATGTATTAAGATGGGATAATTAACTTTCCGTCGCCAGGAGGCACATACAGAAGTGTTTATTCAAAGACGTTAAAACGTGCTCAAAATGGCAGGGGTACCTTATAAAGAGTTGTAAACAAGGTGTTCGTATTACAATATCATGGCCAAATTTGTTATCGCCACGGTTTGACATGTACTTAACTTCTGATGTGTGTCAATGGTGACTACGATGTCATGGTTACCTGTGTCAGTTTTAGTTATTTACATACGACAAGCTTTGACTGTCTCCATGACCTCCTAATGGTACTATAGGTAGGCCTCCTAATGGTACCACAGGTAGACCTCCTAATGGTACCATAGGTAGGCCTCCTAAGGGTACCATAGGTAGGCCTCCTAAAGGTACCACAAGGAGGCCTCCTGATGGTACCATAGGTAGGCCTCCTAATGGTACCATAGGTATGCCTCCTAATGGGACCACAGGTAGACCTCCAAATGGTACCATAGGTAGGCCTCCTAATGGTACCATAGGTAGGCCTCCTGATGGTACCACAGGTAGGCCTCCTAATGGTACCACAGGTAGGCCTCCTAATGGTACCATAGGTAGGCCTCCTAATGGTACCATAGGTAGGCCTCCTAATGGTACCATAGGTAGGCCTCCTAATGGTACCATAGGTAGGCCTCCTAATGGTACCATAGGTAGGCCTCCTAATGGTACCATAGGTAGGCCTCCTAATGGTACCATAGGTAGGCCTCCTAATGGTACCATAGGTAGGCCTCCTAATGGTACCATAGGTAGGCCTCCTAATGGTACCATAGGTAGGCCTCCTAATGGTACCATAGGTAGGCCTCCTAATGGTACCATAGGTAGGCCTCCTAATGGTACCATAGGTAGGCCTCCTAATGGTACCATAGGTAGGCCTCCTAATGGTACCATAGGTAGGCCTCCTAATGGTACCATAGGTAGGCCTCCTAATGGTACCATAGGTAGGCCTCCTAATGGTACCATAGGTAGGCCTCCTAATGGTACCATAGGTAGGCCTCCTAATGGTACCATAGGTAGGCCTCCTAATGGTACCATAGGTAGGCCTCCTAATGGTACCATAGGTAGGCCTCCTAATGGTACCATAGGTAGGCCTCCTAATGGTACCATAGGTAGGCCTCCTAATGGTACCATAGGTAGGCCTCCTAATGGTACCATAGGTAGGCCTCCTAATGGTACCATAGGTAGGCCTCCTAATGGTACCATAGGTAGGCCTCCTAATGGTACCATAGGTAGGCCTCCTAATGGTACCATAGGTAGGCCTCCTAATGGTACCATAGGTAGGCCTCCTAATGGTACCATAGGTAGGCCTCCTAATGGTACCATAGGTAGGCCTCCTAATGGTACCATAGGTAGGCCTCCTAATGGTACCATAGGTAGACCTCCTAATGGTACCATAGGTAGACCTCCTAATGGTACCATAGGTAGGCCTCCTAATGGTACCATAGGTAGGCCTCCTAATGGTACCATAGGTAGGCCTCCTAATGGTACCATAGGTAGGCCTCCTAATGGTACCATAGGTAGGCCTCCTAATGGTACCATAGGTAGGCCTCCTAATGGTACCATAGGTAGGCCTCCTAATGGTACCATAGGTAGGCCTCCTAATGGTACCATAGGTAGGCCTCCTAATGGTACCATAGGTAGGCCTCCTAATGGTACCATAGGTAGGCCTCCTAATGGTACCATAGGTAGGCCTCCTAATGGTACCATAGGTAGGCCTCCTAATGGTACCATAGGTAGGCCTCCTAATGGTACCATAGGTAGGCCTCCTAATGGTACCATAGGTAGGCCTCCTAATGGTACCATAGGTAGGCCTCCTAATGGTACCATAGGTAGGCCTCCTAATGGTACCATAGGTAGGCCTCCTAATGGTACCATAGGTAGGCCTCCTAATGGTACCATAGGTAGGCCTCCTAATGGTACCATAGGTAGGCCTCCTAATGGTACCATAGGTAGGCCTCCTAATGGTACCATAGGTAGGCCTCCTAATGGTACCATAGGTAGGCCTCCTAATGGTACCATAGGTAGGCCTCCTAATGGTACCATAGGTAGGCCTCCTAATGGTACCATAGGTAGGCCTCCTAATGGTACCATAGGTAGGCCTCCTAATGGTACCATAGGTAGGCCTCCTAATGGTACCATAGGTAGGCCTCCTAATGGTACCATAGGTAGGCCTCCTAATGGTACCATAGGTAGGCCTCCTAATGGTACCATAGGTAGGCCTCCTAATGGTACCATAGGTAGGCCTCCTAATGGTACCATAGGTAGGCCTCCTAATGGTACCATAGGTAGGCCTCCTAATGGTACCATAGGTAGGCCTCCTAATGGTACCATAGGTAGGCCTCCTAATGGTACCATAGGTAGGCCTCCTAATGGTACCATAGGTAGGCCTCCTAATGGTACCATAGGTAGGCCTCCTAATGGTACCATAGGTAGGCCTCCTAATGGTACCATAGGTAGGCCTCCTAATGGTACCATAGGTAGGCCTCCTAATGGTACCATAGGTAGGCCTCCTAATGGTACCATAGGTAGGCCTCCTAATGGTACCATAGGTAGACCTCCTAATGGTACCATAGGTAGACCTCCTAATGGTACCATAGGTAGGCCTCCTAATGGTACCATAGGTAGGCCTCCTAATGGTACCATAGGTAGGCCTCCTAATGGTACCATAGGTAGGCCTCCTAATGGTACCATAGGTAGGCCTCCTAATGGTACCATAGGTAGGCCTCCTAATGGTACCATAGGTAGGCCTCCTAATGGTACCATAGGTAGGCCTCCTAATGGTACCATAGGTAGGCCTCCTAATGGTACCATAGGTAGGCCTCCTAATGGTACCATAGGTAGGCCTCCTAATGGTACCATAGGTAGGCCTCCTAATGGTACCATAGGTAGGCCTCCTAATGGTACCATAGGTAGGCCTCCTAATGGTACCATAGGTAGGCCTCCTAATGGTACCATAGGTAGGCCTCCTAATGGTACCATAGGTAGGCCTCCTAATGGTACCATAGGTAGGCCTCCTAATGGTACCATAGGTAGGCCTCCTAATGGTACCATAGGTAGGCCTCCTAATGGTACCATAGGTAGGCCTCCTAATGGTACCATAGGTAGGCCTCCTAATGGTACCATAGGTAGGCCTCCTAATGGTACCATAGGTAGGCCTCCTAATGGTACCATAGGTAGGCCTCCTAATGGTACCATAGGTAGGCCTCCTAATGGTACCATAGGTAGGCCTCCTAATGGTACCATAGGTAGGCCTCCTAATGGTACCATAGGTAGGCCTCCTAATGGTACCATAGGTAGGCCTCCTAATGGTACCATAGGTAGGCCTCCTAATGGTACCATAGGTAGGCCTCCTAATGGTACCATAGGTAGGCCTCCTAATGGTACCATAGGTAGGCCTCCTAATGGTACCATAGGTAGGCCTCCTAATGGTACCATAGGTAGGCCTCCTAATGGTACCATAGGTAGGCCTCCTAATGGTACCATAGGTAGGCCTCCTAATGGTACCATAGGTAGGCCTCCTAATGGTACCATAGGTAGGCCTCCTAATGGTACCATAGGTAGGCCTCCTAATGGTACCATAGGTAGGCCTCCTAATGGTACCATAGGTAGGCCTCCTAATGGTACCATAGGTAGGCCTCCTAATGGTACCATAGGTAGGCCTCCTAATGGTACCATAGGTAGGCCTCCTAATGGTACCATAGGTAGGCCTCCTAATGGTACCATAGGTAGGCCTCCTAATGGTACCATAGGTAGGCCTCCTAATGGTACCATAGGTAGGCCTCCTAATGGTACCATAGGTAGGCCTCCTAATGGTACCATAGGTAGGCCTCCTAATGGTACCATAGGTAGGCCTCCTAATGGTACCATAGGTAGGCCTCCTAATGGTACCATAGGTAGGCCTCCTAATGGTACCATAGGTAGGCCTCCTAATGGTACCATAGGTAGGCCTCCTAATGGTACCATAGGTAGACCTCCTAATGGTACCATAGGTAGACCTCCTAATGGTACCATAGGTAGACCTCCTAATGGTACCATAGGTAGACCTCCTAATGGTACCATAGGTAGACCTCCTAATGGTACCATAGGTAGACCTCCTAATGGTACCATAGGTAGACCTCCTAATGGTACCATAGGTAGACCTCCTAATGGTACCATAGGTAGACCTCCTAATGGTACCATAGGTAGACCTCCTAATGGTACCATAGGTAGACCTCCTAATGGTACCATAGGTAGACCTCCTAATGGTACCATAGGTAGACCTCCTAATGGTACCATAGGTAGACCTCCTAATGGTACCATAGGTAGACCTCCTAATGGTACCATAGGTATACCTCCTAATGGTACCATAGGTAGACCTCCTAATGGTACCATAGGTAGGCCTCCTAATGGTACCATAGGTAGACCTCCGCTGATCGTTTCATTATATATATATTTATGTTGTTTTTGTTAATGCCCACGATTTAGCTCCTTTTTGTTCGGGGTGTAAACAGTCACACAGGAGTATTATGGTGTGTAGGTTGCGGCACATTAGTGATTACCTTACAATAACAAGTACGACTAGAAAGTTGGTTTAGTGGCCATGTTTTATATAAAGAATATGTACCGGCTAAATTCCTATGTTTGACTGGGATTTGATACCGGTTATGGCAAACCCCTGGTTGAAGTAGAGAGACAACGATCAGGCCCCACTTGTATGAAACATCTCAAAACTTGATATTTCCTCAAGTCTAAGATTTCTCATAGACAATACATTGTTTGAGATTTTCCTCAGCTTTAGGATGTTTTATACAAGTGTTTCAGGAGTTATTAGTGGGTCCGCCACCTCCAACAAACTACCTGGTATAGTGTAGTAGTTCGACATTTTCAGAAGTTTGTTTTTTA